GGGGGGGGGGTGTCCGCAGAGACTAACAGGCAGAGACAGGCAGGAAGTGGGACCTGTCCTGAGCCAAAGGAGCTCATTCCAAGACTGAACCGAGTCTCCCAAAAATGTTTAAGAAACTCTCTGTGGTCCCTGCTGGGATGGTCGCCCCTCAGCTTTGGGAGAGTGGGGTGGGGACCCCCCGGGAAGGGCTGTCGAGGTCCGGGCTCCAGGGGGGTGCCCCTCTGGGCACCGTGCCCAGAAGGCAGCAGATGTAGGCCTGAGCGCTAGCAGCTGAGAGCAAGTGGGTAGACAAGAAGGCATAGGAGGGCACGCCCAGGTCCAGGGAGGTGGCCCTGGGGATTCTGGCAGCTGGTCCCCAGGCCTGACCCTGGGACCCTGCTGAGCTTGTGTTTCTGGTGCTTCCTGTTATTATTAGTGTCGCTATTACTAATGAGGATTGTTGTCAATATTAATACACGCGTGTGGATTCCGGAACTCAGAGGCAAGGCTCCTCCTACTTCCCTATTTGCTGCCTTCTAGGCTCCCTACCTCTTCCCCCACATGGTAAACCACTTCCAGAGTCAGGAGGTGACTTCTGGTTCAATCCCCAGGCTCCATTCATTCCATCCCCTATGGTGCAGGGCCTGCCACTGACCCAGCCCCCACCGCGTGCCTCCAGGAGGGGAAGTTACATACTGAGGGCCGGGAGCCTGCCAGGCTCTGTAAGAAGCACTCACGCAAAATAGCCCTATTACTAATCCATTTTACAGATGAAGAGGCTGAGGATTTGGGGCTTATTAAATAGCTACGGACTCACATCCGTCGGGCTCCAAAATGGAGGTCTTTTCCTCTGCATGCATGAACGTGACTAACTCACAAATACTTATCACAAGTTTTCTTTCCCTCCCTTCCCTTCTTTTTTCCCTAAGACACCCAGCATGGGTCCCTCCGCCTCCTCTCCTTCTCCCCCTCCTGACTCTGTCAAGGGCTTCAGTCCTCTCTGTGGCATAAAGTATCCCATCCTGTCCCTAAAACGCCAGGCAGGGAGGCTGCTGAGGGCCATGACCACTGCGGGGTGGCACAGGCTGTCCCGTCCATGCCCCGCTGGTGCGAGTGCCCCCAGTTTTCCCAGAGCAGCGCCGACCCGCCTCACCGGCATGGTCCTCCCTCCCTCTAGGCTCCTTCCCTTCCAAAGTCCCTCCTCATCTCACTGCACCAGTTTCCTGTCCACACACCAGGAGTAAATGGGAGATCACTCTGGGGTGGGGAGTGGGGGTGCAGAGTGTAAACTGCAGAGCGGGGCTTTCCAGGAGGTGGGAGTGGGGGGATGTTCCCAGAAAAGCACAGGGACAAGGCTAAGGTTTGGACCAGTTACCCGCCTCCAGACAGTGATTGTGCAATTCTCAAAACCCCTTGGTTTCTGGGGAAAAACAAGGAAGCCCTCTCCAGAGTCTCCCCCAGGGTCTGCGGGTAATGGAAATGTAATCGGACAGCAGGACACAGAGAGTTGAATGGCAACCCAGAGAAAAAATTCACTGGGATTCCATGCCACTCCGGTCTCGAAAATGGGGGCATAAGAGAGGAGGCTGGAGCACGTCTCCTAAAGCCTGGGGAGAGACTCAGGAGGAACTGGGTCAGGAGGGACTCAGGGTCTTGTGAATAGATGTCATATTCGTGGAAACTCCGTGGATGCCGAGCTAGGGATCTGGTGGTGACCAGGGATGCACAAATCATCTAATCTTCTGGTGAGCAGAGGATTCCACTCCCACAAGGCTGGGGAGAGACGCCGAAGGCAGCACTGGAGAGCAGAGTGGAGACAACCAACTTAGTGCTGCTGGGGACTCCATGGAAAAGCAGAGAACACTGGGGACCATACTTGAGATCCCTCTCCTGAGACAGCGTCTGTGTGCACAGCCTTCTGCTTGCCCAGTGAAGTGGCCCCCCTACAATTTACAAGCCCGCTGTCAACGTGGCCATGGTTGAAAATTAACTTCCATAAGTTTACAAATAAATTACATTCAGACAAAAGAGATAAGTACTCAAAAAACGCCTCCCTTCCTAAGTGGTTTACTGACGTTCACCGTTGTCTCCATGGTGATGGCCATTTACTTCTACGGCACCTGTTTCGTGGACCGAGTCTACAAGGGTGCCCTCCGGCATGCTGCTCCCACTCTGCGTGGGGACAGCTGGAAAATCAGCCACACTGGGAGTGTGCACATCTCAGAAAAGCCAGATGCTACAGGTCAGGTCTTCCCTGCCCCCATCCCTCCCCCCACTCCCAAAGCCACTGTTAAACATTCACCACGAGTGTTTTCTCCCCCTGACACTCACAAGGGCTCATGCAGGAGAAAGGAGGGGAGACCAATGTGTCCCTGATGGTAAATGGCAGGAGCAGACACCTGGCCCTCGCCCCGGTGGTGAGCGCACAGGTACTGACTGAGAGCCCGCCTCTAGCAACTTCCGAGCGTGCACTGAGTCACCCTCCTGGAAGGTGTTTCCAGAACCTCTCTAAAATCTCTTACTGCTTTTTAATAAGCTTTCCTTGCCAGAGCTCCGCTGTTCTCACCCTTCAATGAAGGCTGTCTGAGCACAGCTCCCTGGTTCCTGGAATGGGGAAGATGATGTCATTCAACACCACCCCCACAGCCAGCTGTCCATCCCTCACCACCTTACAGGAGGCTGAGCTGGAGGCTCCTCAGACTGGGAGGGCCCTCCCGGAGTCATCCTGGTCAGTCCGCTGCCTTAGGGTCAAAGTATGCCAGTCCTGTGTTCTGCCAAAGGTCTAACCCTCTATCTGGTACAGATGTTCATGAAAGTGTCCAAACAAACAAGGGGATGAATGGTCTTCCTGTAGTTCTCTGTCTCCCTCACCATTCAATCCCCTCTCCCCCTGTATCCCTGCCCATCCCCAAGAGCCCACCCCCACCCAAAGCATTTGTCCCTGGTTCCCTCAGTCCCACGGTCTCTCCTTTCTCTTCCCCACCTCTGGCAAGACAGAGCCAGCGATGCCCGCACCCTTTTGCAAATACCCAAGCCAACCAGAAGGGCTTCCTAAGCTGTGAGTAACTAAGCAGGGTTTCAGGGCTTCCCCAGTTAAGAAACTTGAAACCCAGGTACTTTGAGGTGCACCCATACACCACACTTCATGCCGGCTGCAGGGTAGGAGCAGGGAGAGTTAGGAAGCCTCCGGGGAAAAGAGGCAAACAGAAGGAAATGCATGGGCCCTCAGCAGACACGTGGCTGGCAAGGCAGAGGCAGGTAGAACTATGTTCCTCAGAAGACCGTCACCCCCTGGGCCAGACACACTTCTGCCTGTGACTGCTGCAGGCATCGTGTGTGCAGGTCAGCCGCCTGATCCCCTCCAGGCAGCTGAATTGAAAACGTGATGCTTTGGGCTCCCCGAGGGCTGAACTTGGACCCAGGGATAAAAGCCCTAGGGAACAAAAATTGGGGCCCGCAGAAGAAATATCTCTTGGACAGAGGCCAAATGGACTGCTATGGGAGGTAGTAAGACGCCATGGGAGGTATTCAAGAGGTTGGAACATCCTTGGTTAGGAGCGCTGAGGAAGGAATTCAGAGAGCAGAGACACAGCCTAATGTCCTCAGAGTCAAGCCTGCCTGGATCAACACCTGCATTATTACCTTTGTGGCCTTGGTCAAGATAGCTACTTCCTCAAGCCTCTGTTTCTTCATCTGCACAATGGGATAGTGCACGACTTCATGGGACTAAGCAAGGATTAAAGAAGACAGAAATACCGGCAAGCACCTGGCACCTAATGGGCGCGCAATAAAAGTCCATCCCCTTTCCTTTAAATCAGGCCGGGGGGGGGGGGGGGGGGGGGGGGGGAGAGGGGCGAGGGGAGTGTCAATACATGAGATGCCCTCGAAGGTCTGATACCCCAGAGCAGGGCTCTGAAACCCTTCCTGGTGGCTGAGAAGGAAGGCACACACCGGGGAGAGGGAAGTCGGGGGGAGGTAGAGGAGGGCGCTGAGCGTGGCTGGGAACCTTCAGGGAGGTCATCCCAGCCAGTCCCGGCTTTGCGCTCGCCTGCCTTCCGGAACGAGAGGGGAAAGCAGGCCTCGGGGCCTAGGAGGCGGTTCCCCATCCGCAGGGGGACCGAGTGGGATTGGCTGCCCCTTCCGGCCCGCCCGCCGCTGGTCGGAGATGGGAGGGAGGAACTGGGGGGGCTGGGGCAGCCTCCAGCCCGCGTCCTGGCCCCGCGCCGCCCCTCCGTGGAACCACAGCCACCACAGCCTCGGGTCTTACAGTCGCTTTATTGTGCTAACACACCGCTCGGGAGCTCAGACCTTACACGCAACCATCCAGTCCAGACCCGTACCCACTCTCCGACCCCGGGGCCCTCCGCCTCGGCTGGGGACGCCGCCCCCGGCCTCCACCACGCTCGGCGCTTCCCCTCTCTCCCCACCCCCCGCCGCTGGGGCGGGGGCGCGGCCTCCCGCGCGGGTCCCGGGGAGCCGCCTCGGGCCGCGGCGACCCGGACGCCGGGCCGCGGCGGGCGCGGGGCGGAGCGCGTCCCCAGCTGCGGGCGGGGCGCCCGGCGGCGCGCTCACACCAGGAGGCCGTCGGTGCGCTCCCGCGGCCCCTCGGCGCAGTCGGCGGGCTCCGCGCTCTTGACCTTGACGTAGACCGGGGAGGGGCCCGCTTCGCAGGCGGCGGCGGCGGCGGAGGCGCAGGGCGCCAGGGCCACGTCCTCGGGGCCGCCGCAGGGCGGGGGCGCGTACTTGCGGCGCAGGGAGCGGCTGACGGTCTGCGTCGGGTACCCCAGCAGGTGGGTGACGCTGCGGCCGCGCCCGCTGGCCTTGCACCCGGGCGCCTCGGCGTCCTCTCTGTGGAAACAACAGGCGGGCGGGTGAGCGGGCTCCTCAGGGCGCGGCGTGGGCACGGCCTGGCCGGAGCGGGGGCGCTGGCAGCCTCTCGGCCCCGCAACCTCCCTCCACCTGCTCCTCGCCTCTCCCTCGGCCTCCACCTGCTCTCCTCTGCCTCCTCGCGGCCGGCGACCCCGCGGGCGCCCTCGTCCCCTTCCGTCCTGCGCACGGCCGCCGGCCTAAACGGGGAGCGCGGCTCGGAGACCCAGGAGGAGCCGCCTTACCTGTCCTTCTCTCTCCTGCGCTAACACCAGCCTTGCCCTCGCTTTCTCCTCTCCTCACGTCTGCCCCTCAGCCTCCTTCCCCATCTTTCCCTCCACCCCCAGAGCACTGCGGTCATTAGCACTACTGACTAGTCTTGTTCTATTTTTATTTCTAGTCGGTTTCTAATATAAGTTATTAGCACTATCCTTACTATCGACTCTTCTTAAATAATGTCCAGAATTGTCACCGGCGCCAAAAAGGGAAAACATGAAAAAATGAAAAAATACAGTCCCTGCCCTCCAGGAGCTTACAGTCTAGACAAGATGGACAGAGAGGTGCTCAGACAGGAGGGAGACGGAGGGCAGGGCAGCAGAGGTGAAGACTGGCGCGGGAGGGGGAGAGAGGAGCCACGGCGGGTGGCAGGTCGGCATGCTGCGGTCCGGCACTCCTGGCGATGGCCGGCAGGGTGGGGGTGGGGGTCCCGGCCGGCCGGTGGCAGGCAGGGGTGAGGAGGGCCGCTCGGCAGCATGCAGCATGCATCAGGTTTTACCTGATCTCACTAGCCAAGTCGCCGCAGGCCCCTCCGCTGACCCCGCCGCCGTTGCTGTAGCCGAAGGCACCGCGGGCGCCGCCGGCCCCGGCGCCCCCGCAGCAGCAGCAGACGAGCCCCCAGATGCCCACCAGCAGACAGCCCAGCATGAGCAGAGAGCCCAGCACTGCGCCTATGATCATGCCTATGCGCCGGGAGTCTGTGGAGAGAAGTGGAGACTGTCAGGCTTTCTGCAGCCGGGCAGGTGCCTCCCTAACCAGGAGGTGCCCGGGGCAGCTCTCTGTGGGGAAGAGAGCAAGTGTCCCGGGCTCGGGGTGTGAGGGGGTCTCTGGGTCCTGGGACACCCAGGAAGGAAGGGCGAGGAGATGCAAGTCACCCTGTACATGTGCGTGTTTCTGCCAGGGCTTCCCAGCCCTGACGGAAATGGGAAGGCAGAGCCGACTGAGGCCCCAGACACAGCCCAGGCTCCTCCAGCCCCAGGGCCCCCAGGGCCGCTGCTGCTGCACCCACCTGAGACCTTCACCTCCACCACGCACACACTGTAGCCCACGTGGTTGGCCACGGTGCACTGATAGAGCCCATCATCTTCGCGGGAGATGTCCTTCAGCACCAGGTCGCCGTTGTTCAGACCTGAAACTGAAACAGCGCCGGAGGGGCTATAGCAAGGCGGGGGTGGGGGTGTGTGTGGGGGGGTGCCACCCCAGCCTAGGCCACTGCCGGTGGGGATGGAAGGAGGCAAGGCATATGCACTGGCAAGTGCGCGCACGCACATACACACACACACACACACACACACACACAGGCCCACCCCACTCTCCCAGTGAGTCGCTCCCCTGTCTAAAACAGAGAGCCAAGACAGGCCCCTCTCCAGCAACGGGACAGAGACACCATTAAGTCACTTTGTGACCTTAGGGAAATATATCCCCTCTCTGGACCTTGGTGTCCTGACTGGTACAGTGAGGACAAGGTGAGACCAGAGGAATTCTAAAGGTCCCTCCAGCTCTGAGAGTCTCTGTTGAGTGGCCGGCCATGTGTGCCCGCTGAACCCTCCCACGCCCCTGCAAGGTAGACATCATCATTCCTCTTCCCCATGCGGTGAGACGAAGGCACAGAGGGGTACCGTCGGCTGCGGGGGGGCTTGCAGCCAGTCAGTGCAGCCACCATGACTCAAGCCCGGCTCTACCTGTGTGTGTCCCCTGCGCCCTCTGCCCCACGGTCCCGCTGCTCACCCAGCCCCACCTTGGTTCAGGGAGCTGTGGAAAGATTCCTGGTAAGAGAGCTCCGAGTGGAAACTGTGTTGCGAGTGGTAGGAGCCAGCGCGGTAGGGGTGGGTGTGCCCGCTGATCTTGGCCCACTTGTAGGAGAGAGGCGGGGTGCCTCCGTTGGCAAAGCACTTGAGCACCACGTCGTTGCCGTGAGTCATGTGGCCCTCAGACCAGCACAGGGGCACCGCGGGCCGTGCTGTGGAGAAGTGGGCAGGTGTGAGGGGGGTGGCCATCAGAGGGGCTCTGGGTCCGGGGGAGGGGCGCCCGGAGGAGCCCGGCGGCCATACCTTGGACAGTGACGATGACCTTCCGGCTGGCCATGGTGGTCTTCTTCACCCGACACTCATAGGTGGCCGTGTCAGACACCTGCAGGTTCATGAGGTTGATGGAGGCGTCATACTGGCTGGGGTCTGAGGCTGCAAAGCGGACCCTCTGCTGCAGGTGGGGAAGGTTGCCGTGATTGATCCTCTTGTCCTGGTAACTAAGGAACTGTGGAGAAAGGGAGAAAACAGAAGCGGTGACCCAGGCACAGCTGAGGAAGGCCGTGTGGCTCGGCAGCCTCGGCATTTCACTGAGCTTCTTGGAGACTCTTTTCTCTGCTGAAAGCTGGTGAAGATGATACCTGGCCCATTAACCTTAGTGAATGTGTGAGAGCAGATGAGATCAGGCGCTTTGGGAAGTACAGGGTCCCCTGCTCCCTGGAGCAGGTGGGAGAAGGCGGACTCACTGTAATTTGTGACTACGGAGCCCTCATCCCTGTCGCCTCATTCCCAGACAGGCCACTGGGGAAGTTCAAGGGCTTCATTTTCTTATCTGCCCTCCTTTTCCCCTCAGGGTGTTGGCTGGCCGAAAGGTAGACACTGTGCTGACATGTAGGGTAAGGGGAACCCTGAACCCGGCACTCACCACATTCTCCCGGTGTGAGGGGTCTGAATTGACCTGCATCCACTCGATGTCCAGCCCATTAGGACCATAGTCCTCAGGGTCCAGGATGTAGGGGCAGCCCAGCCTCACGTTATCGCCTTCCGCCAGGTACAGGATCTCCTGGCCATCCCCGTTGATCCGCACAGCAGACAGCAGTGCTAGGGGAGGGGCGGGGCAGAGGGGGCGGGGGAGAAAACCAGGGAGCAGGGCAGTCAGCCTCAGCCCCTCTCTCCCCCCCATCCTCCGTGGAGTGGCCTGGGGTGGGTGGTTACTCTCAGGGATTGGTCTGTGCATGCCTGTGCATACTTGCATACACATGTCTGTGCCCTATGACTGTGGGTTGCATCCGAATTCTGCGTGTATGTATATGGCTGTTATGTGCGCTTGCACGTACGCGTGATGGTGTATGCACGTGTGCATGTGTGCACGTGAGTGTATCGTGTGCTTATGAGTGTGTGTGGCTTAGGTATACTGTAGAGATATTCGTGCATATGACCAGGTAGAGTATCCTGTATACTTACGTGTGTGTGTGGGGTGTGTGTGGGTGGGTGGGGATGTGGGTGGGGATGTGGGTGTGTGTGGGTGTGTAGGCACAGGAAACGACCAGAGTTGAATGTTCTGATGGAAAAGGCTGGCTTGTGAAAAGGGGCCTCTGTCTGGGCCAAGTGAGTGCTCCTGTGTGGAGGCAGGATGGACACCATGTCCTCTAGGGTCCCTTCCTCAGCCCGAGGAGCAGAAGACTTGACGTGACTGTGTTTGTCTCTGTGGATGACAGTGTGTGTCTGTGGCTGTATGCTTGGGCGTGGCCACGTGCGACTGGCTGGGTTGGTGCTCTGAGTGATGGTTCATGCCTGTGCGTGACAGTGGGCATCGGGGCCCAGGGGCCCAGCGTGTTTGTGCGGTGCCGCTGATGGCATGTACCTGGGAATATGGCCACCTGTGTCTGGAGGACAGGCTGAGCCCTGTGTGATGACATACGCCGTTGTGGATTTTGTGTCCTTCCCGTGGTGCCATCTATGGCTCAGGCACAGCCGCCCATACCTGCTGGCTCCAGCTGGGGCCCCTCCCCCTGCTAACAGCCCCGGCTCCACTGAGCTCCACTGAGTCAGCCAGGCTGAGGAGCCAGGATCTGGAAGCTCAGGATTGAGCTCCTTGCCTTCCCTCCCCTGAAGCCCCAGGCAGGCGCTAGCCCCAACCGGTTGGACCCAGAGAGGAATACGGAGCATGGAGGCGGGGGTGCCAGGGCCCCAACCTTGGCAGGCAGGGCAGGCAGGCTCCACCCCCAGGCCCCCACAGGGCTCCCTACCCAGGCCCCTGGCCCAGCCTGGCTCGCTCTCCTGCTGCACTCCAGGCAGCCAGCAAACCCTCTCGGCAGCTCCCTCTGCTCTGCTCTCCTCCGGGGACCGTGTCCATGTTAGGGCGTCTCCCACGTACAGCTTCACACGGTCACAGCCACACATCGGCACACTCACACGCCTACGTCCCCATGCAGGTCTCACTTTGCTACCCACACAGACACCATCAGATCCAGACAGACACACATCTGCACACAAATGCAGGTGCACAGTCCTCCAGAAGACGAGCGGCCCCGCCCACTGCACACCCCCATGCGTATCCATTCAACACTGCCCATGCCTGCGGGAGCTTCGTTTGCTTCCAGAGAGCCAGCAGGGGCCCTTTTAACACCCGCAGACACCCTCAGGCATCACCGAACCCCAGAGCAGGCGGGCTGGCCACAGGGCACTAGCGGAACCTGGTGATGCCTCCTCCAGCCCCGAGGCCAAGGGAACACCAGCCCTCTTGAGATAAGGATCCTGGTGCTGACTGCCAGCTCCTGGGGCAGCGGGAGGCACACTGGGGATGAGCCAGGGCCCGGAGAGCACAGGCTCCACCCTGGGAAGGGCTGGAGGACTGTCCCCATACCCAGGGGGCTGGCCCAGCAGGAGGGTAGGTCTGCAGGGGAGGGGGCTGGGGAAGGAGGGGACAGGCTGAATGAGAGTGCCTCCACCCTGCACTAGGCAGTGTCTTCCCCTGTCCCTGGGCCAGGGAGCCTCACCCCAGCTTGTCAATCTCCCAGAAACCTCTCAGCCTCCGCCCTGTCCGTGGGGCTCCAAGCCTTCCCACACCCCCTGCTCCTCCGAGGAACCTGTCCTGCTCTTGCCCCTCGGTCCTTCTTGCTCCTGCACTGAGGAAGTATTGCAGGGAGCGAGGGGCATGCGAGGGAAGAGAGCCAGGGAGAGAGAGCTGGTCAGGACTCCCTGGAGAGAGGGAGGGAGCATGGGGGCCGTGATGATGCATTGGGCCTCCCACCTCCTGCAAAAGCACCAGGGCCTGGGCACCCGTCTGCTCACAGCTTGTAAATCCTTCGTGCATTTCCCAGCTGCTTCCACGGCTCCTCGCCCTCCCTCTGGAGGTGACAGAGGAGAGAGAGGCTGGTGGAGCACAGACACACAGAGCGAGGGTCTGTCCTCCACACCCACGGCTCACACCACACCCACGGACCTGTCCCAGGTCCCCAGAGCACATCTGGGGCTTCACGAGTGGACCCTGCTCTCACCACCCTGCCAGTAATGCTGTGTGTCTCTCTCTTTCTCACACACACACACACATGTGCACACATGCACGTGCACAGAGGCTGAAAATGCTCCCTGAGTTCCTCCCACAAACCCCCTCCTGCGAATCCAGACCCCAGCAGGGTCTCACAGCCGCTTCCAGCAATGCCTGCACACAATGGCTGGGACCCCCCCAGCCCCATGCAGGCAGTCACCCCATCTACCTCTGAGCCCTGCCCTCAAGGTGTGCCCCGAGGGGTCAGGGGACTCTGGGAGGTGCTGTCCCCAACGCCCCCAGGCCTCATCCTGGGGGGCGGCGCTACCCTGGAGCTCTCGAAGCACGGCCAGACTACCAGGAGGTTCTGCCGTCTCCCAGGCCAACTCCCTGCCCTTGGCTCTAGCCTGGGGGTGGGCGTGGGTCCCACCCGTGGGAGGAAAAGGGGTCTTTCCAGGGCTTCCTGCTGGCGCCCCCGCCGCCGCGCACCTGACGCCCTGCCCCACCCCCAGATCCCCAGGCTCCCAGGACAAGCCCAGCACCCCGTGCACAGCGTGTGCGTGCATGTTCGAGCCCTACACGGCTCACAGACACCGTAAAGATCCATCGAGACTTGTGCCCCAAACCCTCAGGCACAGGGCTGTCCTGGCTCCATCCGCAGTCAGGTGGCAGCAGGGCCTCAGACCACCTCCCAGGCTCCTCTGCGGGGCCCCTTGCGGGCCGTTGCCCTGCCCTCCTGGCATCGCGGGGCTGCCCCAGCGGATGCCCGGCCCCATACCTGGGCTCAGGCACACGAGCAGAAGGTGGAAGGCTCCTCGGACTGCCATGTCTCTAGGCTTGGTGTTTCCTCCGCCTGGGCTGGGTGTCCCTGGGGCCAGCGGCGGCGGGGCGGGTGTGTGGGGACGGGTGGAGGGCAGGGGAGCGGAGGGCCCAGACGCTGCCCGGGGTGGCAGGAAGGTGCAGTGAGTGCCGGGGCCACAGCCGGAGTTATTTCTATAGGAGGGAGGGGGCCCTGTCCCCGCCTTGGGGAGGAGCCCCGGGAGCCCTAATTATCGGGGTGACAGTGACCTACCCAGGCATTACCCAGCCCTCACCCAAGCTCTTCCCTGTCCTGAGAGTGGCAAGGAGAGGCCAGCGGGACTTGTAATTAGGCACCAGTTAAGCTACACTTCCTCCTGGCCCGTGCTCGGGGTAACAACAGCCGCCTGGTTTTACAGCGTCCACGGAGCTCCCCTCACCACTCATTTGTTGCCTCCCCTCCCCCCCCCCGGGGAAAGGGGGGAGAGGAAGGAGAGGCAGGCTTGGGGAGGAAAGGTGGCCAGGCTGTGAAGGGTTAACCCTGACCCAGGGACACAGGGGTCTGACCCAGCCTCTCCTGCAGGCTCATCCCTGACCCTGGGGGAACCTCCTCACCCCAGCTGAGGTCTGTGGGAAGGGGCAGCAGGGAAGGGGACATGGGCTGGAGGGAAGGCCCAGGTAGATGAAAGACACCCAGGGGAGTCCAGCCCGTCTTCCCCCTGAGGCCTCTGGCCCTTCAAAGGGAGTTGGGCCCCCCAGAGCTGAAAGAGAGAGGTGTGCATGGGAACGGGGTCTTCCCCTGGCTGTCCCTCGGGAACCATGTCCCCCGCCCCTACCTGAGTTGAGGCCAGCCCCGAGTGCAGGGGTCCCTGGGAGCAGGGGACGCAGGAAAGACCAGAGGGCCTGGGAAAGGGGCGTGCCCACGTGTGCACGCCGGTGGATGTGTGTGTACCACGTCTCTGCTTCTGCACACCTTTCAGGGATCACCTGGTGTCCTTGCTTCCATGCACAGGAGGGGAGACTAGGCCCCTCACGACCTGGACTGCTCACTGGGGTGATCTGGGCTGGCTGGAGCTGGGTGGGTAGGGGAGGAGGCAGAGGGAGAAGGCGGAGGACCAGCCCCTGCTTGTTGAGCGGGGAGGGGGTCCCAGGACCGCCCCACCCACGATGGTGGGGGTCAGGTCCTGTGAGGCCCCATTCAGCAGCTTGGGTCCCTCAAAGGGGCCACAGGGAGGGCAGGGGTGAAGAGCCTTGAGGAGAGTTCCGGGCTCAGGGCCAGTGCAACGAGGAAGCGTGAGGAGTCCACGCGCCTCTGCACTCCAAAACCCTCTACCCACCCCTTGGCAATGACAGGGTGCCCTAGGTCCCAACAGAGGTACCAACGAATATCCTTATTTCCTTGTTTATTTTGAGGTTTATGAGATTGTCCTGCACCCCCAGGAGAGCAAGGAGCATTATCCCCACTTTACAGACGGGGTATTCAGCCCATGTGCTGCCGCTGAGCCTGGTGACCTGGGGGCGGGGGGGCGGGGGACACTCGAGGCATCCTGACCCTCAACCCAGAGTGGCCCACAGAAAGGGCTCGGCAGTCCTGTGGGTTAGTAGATGTGCCCAAGGGGTAGAAGTACAGAAGGCCAGTGATGGGGGACCGGGGGGAGGGGGGTGCAGGAAGAAGGGGACTGGACAGCAAAGAGGAAGGCCGTAGCTCCATCACGGTCAAGTGTAGGGCTGGGCCTGTTTGTTGGTTCCTATCAGGGCCGGGCTGAAGGTTGGGTTGGTTCGTTGGGATTACCAATGAGCCCAAGGTCACACTTGAGGAACTAAGGCTACATCAGGCTAGAATGACAGCGAGAGCTGAGCTAGAGTGTGTGGCTGGGGTCCATGTTAGGGTGAGGCACGAACAAGGGATTCACAGCCACGGGCGGGAGTGCAGCTACCACCAAACGGAATGCCAGACTTGGGGTTGGGGTTCTCGCTATGTAGGGTTGGGATGCATTGTTTCTGAGTTTGGGATTTGGGCTAGGGTGGATCGTGGTTAGGGTTAGGACGTGAATTCCATGGGCATCACGATTCACGGGGATCAAACATGAAGTTTTATTTATGACACAAAGACTTCCATCTCCGTCTGCTGAATGCCTTCGCGCTGGGAGTATACCAGAGGCATATCAGCACGTATCAGTGTGTGAACTCAGGGCTTGGGAGGGAGTTCCAAACAGGCATGAGCCCGCCTGAAGCAGCCTAACCCCCTAACCAGTGTTGTCCCCTGAGTCTTGCTCTGCAACCTAAGCCCACCACCAGCCACGCTCCCCCGACGAGACAGCTGGGAAGGCGGTGCAGGAAGCTATCAGCAGGGAGTGGCACTCTGACTCCAAAGTGAATCGGAAGACAGGGCCCACCAGATGCACTTGTACTGGGTCGGAGTGGGGGGGTCCTGGTTTTGGAGTCTGGGGGACGCGTGCTGAACGGGAGGGCCCAGATGCTCCTAGAAGAATGGCCGCTTTGGAGGGCTCCACCCCAGGGCTCCTCGGAGCCCCAAAAGACAAGTCACATTGCTGTTCTCCATTGACCCACTAAGGGCTAATTGCCACCTCCTCGCAGTTTGGGGCCCATAAATGGAGCTGTCAGCCTTCCTGCCTTGTGCCCTGAGCCCTGCAGCGTTTTATGGTTGTGATGAGTGACTGCACTGAGTGTCAGCTTGGTTTTTGCAGGAGAGGCCCAGCCCTCCTGGCTCTGAGACCAGCCCCCAGCCGGCATCTCTCTCTAGGCTCAGCCTCAGCAGAGGAAGAGAGGCCACTCCTGGGAGCCCCTCCCCCTCCAACCCAACTCCTTCCTCCTTTTCTCTTTCCCCCACCCAGTCTCCACCCCAAACAGCCCATTCCCCACCCACTTTCTTTTCATGTCTCAGAGAGGTCTGGAGGAACCAGGGGACTCTCAGGGTCTGTCTGTGCCCCAGGGAGAGAGAAGGTGGTCGGCAAAGGGGCAGAGAAACACGTGGCTTCCAAAGGGCCACTCAGAGGCTCCAAGGCAGAGAGAGAAGACAGAGGGCCCGGGCCGCCATCTGTGGTTCAGCACACGCTAAGAGGGCCCCTTGCTTTTCCCTCAGAAATCCAGAGTTCAGCACAGGAGACTGAGGCCTCCTTTGCACATACCCCCCACTTTGGGCTGTATTTGCTTCTCTTTTGTTAATTTTGTAAAATCTTTTTAAATGTTTATTTTTGAGAGAGAGAGAGAGAGAGAGAGAGCAGGGGAGGGGCAGAGAGAGAGGGAGACACAGAATCCGAAACAGGCCTCAGGCTCTGAGCTGTCAGCACAGAGCCAGACGAGGGGCTTGAACTCATGAACCGTGAGATCATGACCTGAGCCACCAGGAGCCCCTGATTCTCTTTTTTTAATGTTTATTTATTTTGAGAGAGAGAGAGAGTGAATGAGCATGAGTGGGGGAGGGGGAGAGAGAGAGGGAGAGAGAGGGAGAGAGAATCCCAAACAGGCTTTTCACCATCAACACAGAGTCTGACTCGGGGCTCTATCCCACAAACCATGAGATGATGACCTGAGCCAAAATCAAGAGTCAGATGCTTAGCCGGCTGAGCCACCCAGGTGCCCCGGGTTATATTTGCTTCTATCCTAAGACAGTAACAGCATCTCAAGACATAGGCTTAGAAAGGAGTGAACAGAGACAGAGGAGGGAAGAGGCAGACCCAGGACCCAGAGAGGCCCAGAGGCTGCTTCTGAGATGAGGCGCAGCCCAGCCCCACGACATCTTGGGGAAGGACGGGCAGAGGCCTCCGCCGGCCCCCGCTTCCTTCAAAGCCTCACACAGCAATTTCGTACAAACCGCTGGGACTCTGCCCTCCAGCCCCGGTCCCCAGGTCCGCAGGCTCAGGCTGGAGCTCCCATCTCCCCAGGTCTGCAGACTGCTCCTGGCTAAACTACACACACAGACACACACACTCACACTCACACACACAGTCAGCAGGCCCTTAGCCCCTCTCCAGGCCCCCACATAGACTCAGGCTCACCCCTACAACACCCAGGGGGTGGACCACAGACCCCAGGAGTGAGCGTGCCAAGAACACGCCCAGGGCAGAGGGTTGGGGGCAGAAGTCTGGACGACCGCGGACTCACACCGAGTCTGAGAGGGGCGGACAGGCACCGCGGCACACGGTCGCACAGAGGCAGGAAGCCGCCGCGGCTGATGCCTTTCGGCAGCTCTCAGCAAGGGCTCGCAGTGGGAAGGCAGCTGGACCAGGCCGCGGGGGGACTGGAAAAGTGGGGGTCCGGGGTGGGGGGGCCCAGGTGGTGTGGCAGGAGACTGCCCCACTCAGACAGGGTAGAGTGGTCGGTGACAGGCGAAGACCCATGCATGGACTGAGTTCCGGGAACTGGGTTGGGGCTCAGGAACTAAAGGTCAGTGCTGCGGGGTCAGGGCTGGTGGGCTGAGCTCCTCACACCTGCTCAGGCCTCCTGAGGCTCCGTGATTCCTTCTGGTCCTCCCAAAAGAAGGGGGCCCCTGGGAGGGGGCCCGGATGTGCCCAAATCCCTCCTGTCAAGAGAGGTGCCCAGATTCACAGGAGCAAGCAGCACAGGAGGGGTCCCCAGCCCCTAGCGGAGTGGCCTGCCCACTACCATGTCAGCACAGCAGCAAGGCGGGAGTGGGGGTGGGGGGTGAAGGTTAGGACCTGACCTGCTGTCAAGGGAACTGCTTATAAAGCGTATGTGAATCCCCAGGGCACCTGGGTGGCTCAGTTAAGCGGTTAAGCATCTGGCTTCAGCTCAGGTCGTGATCTCAAGGTTCATGAGTTCAAACCCGCATCGGGCTCTGTGCTGACAGCTCAGAGCCTGGAACCTGCTTTGGATTCTATGTCTCACTCTCTCTCTGTCCCTCCCCTGCTCACACTCTGTCTCTTAAAAATGAATAAAACATTAAAAAAATGTTTATTTGGGGCGCCTGGGTGGCTCAATCAGGCTTCCAATTTTGGCTCAGGCCATGATCTTACAGTTTATGGGTTCGAGCCCTGCATCAGGCTCTGTGCTGACAGCTCGGAGCAGGAGCCTGCTTTAGATTCTGTGTCTCCTTCTCTCTCTGCCTATCCCCCACTTGTGCTCTGTCTCTCAAAATAAATACATGTAGAAAAAAATTTTAATTAAAAAACATTTAAATGTTCTTTTAAAAAGAGACTCGATGATAAGAACTATGTCCACCTCACGGAGATCAACCATATCCCCCAGGACCCTCATCCATTCGACAAATGGGCTGGATCCCGGGGAGGCAGCAATTAGCACAACTCGGTCCATCCTGGAGTGCCTCGTCTGGTGGGGAGAGCGGTGAGAGAAGGGTGCCACCTTGCTCACAGGGTCATGAGCTATGGTGATGTGAGCCTCCTCACTTGGTGGAACTGACGTTTACTGGGGGTAACTGAGGATGTGCCCTGAGCACTGTGGGCGGAGCACTTCCAGCCTCAGGAAATAAACCAGGGAGCTGTCCATCAGGACGCACTGCGGAAGAGTGGAGCGGAGAGTCAGCTGATGGTTGCTTTTGCAGGAAAGGGAAGATCCTTGACAGCCGGCTCTCTGGGGGCCTTCTCCCCATTCCGGCAGAACATTCAGGATTGGAGCCAGGCCTGCAGGACGGCCAGACTGGTTGTCCTGGGCCGCGTGCACGTCTGTGTGTGGGGAGACTTCGGGGTGGGTTTGTTCACACGTCCATGGGGACTTTGGACTTTGAATTTATAGAAATGAAATTGGCTTTTGATTCTGCCCTGTGGATCCCCCCTGTCGAGCACATCCGGCAGACGGGTGCTGTGGACCCCTCGGTGCCCAGGGCAGTCCCCGGCCTGCCTGGCCTTCCTGGGAGGCCGTGCACAAGCCGGCAGGGGCCGAGCAGGGCCGGGTGTGGGTCTGTTTCAGCCTTCCCCACTAAGCCCGCCTGGCCAGCCCTCACTCTCCTCTCCGTGTTTGCGTCTCGTTGCCTGGACACCGGGAGAGGGGAAGGTGGTGCTGAGGGGTGGGGCCAGGGCTGGCTGGGACAGTGGAAGTGCTAAGTGTCAGAACTAAATGCCCAGCCCAAGGGATAAAGGTTCCCGGCTTTGCCCCTCCACCCTCTCCTTCCAACAACCAACCTCGCCCTACAAAATGCTCCCAAGAGTCCAGTGTTTCCAGAATTTTGAACACTTGCCCACACGGCTGCAGGAGCTACCTGAAGGAAGGGGTGTGGTGTAAAAAGAGCCTGGACCCTCCTGTGGTCCCAGCAGCCAGGCGGATGCAGAGAATGACATTCTCAGCATCGGGGCCGCTCTGAGATAGTTTGGGTTGCCTTTTGAGGTAATGAGCATCCTGTCTCTCAGGGTGTGCAAGCTCCAACCGTCCAATCATTTGATTAGAGGTTGCAAAAGAGGTTCAAGCACTAGGGTGTCTTTGCAGCTCCTTCCAGACTTGAGACTCTCTGATTTGGTGCTCACCCCACTAGCCTGGGGATAGTCTGTCCCCAGGGGCCATGTGGGAAAGCTCATTAGCTCTAGGCACTTTCTCCTGCTCTCCACTCCCACCCCCGCCTTGACTCCTCCTTCCAGGAGTCTCCTGGGAAAGCCACCCAAAATCCCAACCGTTTTCCTGTCCCAGCCTCAAAGTCATCAAAGGGCTTTGGGGCGATGGCCACAGCTTTGCACAAGTACACGCAGAATACAGGGAGAAATGCAGAGCCGATACCAGCTGGGAGGGTGCGCGCTCTGGAAGCTTAGACGGAAGGGCTCACCAGGCAGATCAAGAACCACCTCACCTCTGCTGGGACTCTAGAGTTATGCGGTGTTGGAAGTGAGGTTCTTCCGGGTAACCTTGGGTGATTTGCTGGGATACCCGCCAGAGTATGGGGGGCAGGGCAGAGGAGAAGTCGCCTTGGGTGATTTGCTGGCATACCCCCCAGAGTATGGGGGCGGGGAGGAGGAGAGGTCGCCTTGGCAGCAGCCTAGTAGGGGAGGAGACCTCTGGTCTGGAGTGCTGTCTGCCAGGCTTCCCCTCTGCAGAAGGAGAGGTCGGGATGGATGAGAGGGGAAACCAGTGAGCAGCTTGGTGGCCTCCACACCTAGACGTCTTGTCTGAGACGCCAGCGTCTCTCCTCCACTGTCACCTAGGCAGCTGCCACCGTTTCTCACCCCAAGAGCCCTGTCTGGCTTTGAACTCTTTGGGCCCCTTTCATCCGAGCCGAATCAAAGTGCTTTTACTGAGACCTATTAATGTCCGCCTGTGACCCCAGTCACGGACGGGGATGCTGAGGTTTTCAGGGGTGCCGAGGACATCCCAGCGCCCCGCTGACTCAAGGGCAGCCTGGCTTGGCCACCAGGGAAGGCTGCTGAGTCACGCAGCTGCTTCTCTGGCAGGCGCATGGGCTGGAACCCGCCGCCAGGCCCTGACAGAGCAGGATGCGGGCGGCAAGTAGGGGCACGGGGCCAGCCCGGAGCCGGGGGACACGTGCCCGGGAGGCAGCCGCCCGCAGAGCTGATTCAGACCTCCGAGGTGGAACCAACCACTGGATTTGCCAGACTACACCCGGCTGGTCTGACCCTGCAAGGACCAGAGGACCCAAGGGGCAGAGCACGGGCAGCTGGGAAGACACCTGGGAACCCATACAATAAAGTCAGGAGCTCGAGTATGATTTTTTTTTTTTTTTTTTTTTTTGGTACACTTCCAGCGTCTTTACATCAACCAAGACAATGCACCCAAACAGCACTTCTGATTCCCGGGCACCACTTCCCCCTGTCAAGCTCCCCGGTCACCCTGAGCTGCCTCAGTGACTGGCAGGGGCACCCAGAGCTCCCTTCTACCTCAGAGCAGAGGAGGGAAAACTAAAGCCCTTCCTGGGAGAAAGCACGGCCCACCCATAGTCCCAGTCTCTAGCTGGTTGTTCCTGTGCTATGGGCCCCCATCCAAGTCCTCAAGGAATTCCATTTTCCTCTCTTCCTTGTCCCCAGGCCCCACCTGCTGCAGAGCTGGGCTCCCACGGTCTCCCGCTGGCTCTGCCCCACCTTCCTGCGGGCTGACCCCACCAGCCCCCACTAATGCCAGGGACCTCTTCCCTGCCATCATGCCCACTGCCCTTCTCAGTTAGAGGGGCGGGGGTATGGAGGGTGCAGCCCGCGTGCCTCACACACCAGCTGCCCGCCTGGCGGGAATGCCCCACTTCTGGGGACGGGGGCTGCGGATGACAAGATGACGCAGGCCGGTCCTGAAGCCTGCGTGGGGTGTTGAGGAATCCCAAGAGAAGCAGCCAACCCTGTCTCCCCATCACGGGCCGATTCCTGGATTCCTGGAGGGGAACGACTCCCAGACCATCTGCACCTGCACAGAGGTGGCCGTGGTCCCCACCCCCTGCCCCTCCACCCCCGTCTCTGAAGCCAGGCTCCATTCAGACCTGCAGCTGCTGCCCCCAGGGCCCAGGCCATGTGGAGAAGGTCTCATTCTCAGGCTGTGGGGTCTGCCAGGCGCCGCACGCCCGCAATTTCATGAGCAGCAGTTGGGGTGAAATGCAGGCCTTGCTGGAAGCCTGTGAACTTCGCCCTTTTTTCTGCACGTGGCCTCACGAGTTAGCAATGGTTCTGGAACGCCCTTTCTTCCTGACCCTCACTGCGGTGGGGCCTGTGCCTCCTTGGCCCTGAGATGGGGGACTCAGGTAGGGATCTGGGCAAGCTCCAGGCACCCGAGGTCCTTCCTGGCTTTCCTGGCAAGAGGGTCCCCTGGTCCCTAACTGCTGTGGGCTTCACCCAGGGAGCCTGCGGAACTGAGCTGCCACAGAAGGCACCAAGTCCTCAGTGGCGTGGCCATGAGATGCGGGGGGGGGGGGTCTCATCCCAGCACATCTGGTAGGGGCGCACTCAGGGCCACTGAGCGGGGGGTGTGAGAGGAGCCCCCCCTCAGCTCGCCGGGGCGTGGCGGGGCTGGCGGAGAAGGTGCCTGGGGAAGCTTCTCTGATGAAGAGGAGGCCCGGGGAGAAGCCTGCCTGCCCACTCTCCCTATGAAAAGAGCACTCTTGCCAGAGGCCCTTATAACCTGGCGTTGCCAACACCCAGGACGCGCCGGCAGCTGCCCTCTGCCCCCTCGGTGCAGGGCCCGCGCAGGGAGGCAAGTGCGGAGCATGGAGGGGGCGGGCTGACGCCGAGGGGCTGGGAGCTGGGCTGCAAGCCCCTCCCCACCCCCAGGCTTCCATGGGGAAGCGGCTCCATCCCTGGGCCACAGCTCTGCATCCCACGAGGAGCCTGATAATCAGGGTCCTTCAGTAAGAGGCTGGGATTATTCTAAGGGCACAAGGAATGTGGTGTGGAGCAGCTAGGGGAGGACCAGGTGCAGACTCTGCGGGGGTGGACCCGGGTCCGCTGTACTGAGTGCCCAGGGGGCACCCGGCCAAGGCAGGCGCCCAGGAAGCCTTTGAATGAGTGAATGGATGAGAGTATTGGGGGGAAACAAGAAGCAAATTAACACAATGGCCTCGGGGAGCCCCATCTGTCAGAGTGAGGAGAGCCAGGCCCCGGGTGAGAGGCAGCCGGGTCCGGGTGAGGAGCGGGGCCCTGGGTGGGCCCAGGGGTGGACAGATTCTGTGTTGTGGCCGGAGAGGGCAGAGCAGGAGAGCAAGGCCCGGGTGCAAATGCCACCGCCCCCCCCCACAGGAGGCGGGGTCTGAGTCCCTGCTGCCCCAGCCCCTCCCTGAGAAACAGCTCCAACGGCTGGCGCTGAAATGCCTCTAAACTAGACGTGGAACAGAGACAGAGCAAAGCTGTGCTGAAGGGGGACACGAAGGCAACATCCCTGGGGCCCCGGAAAGGCCAGAAGATGCAGGGCAAAGGGCCCGCGGGGCTGGGAGGGACCCCCTGCGAAGAGCACCCTTTGGTCCCCTGCCCCAGGCCATCACACCACCCACGGCCCTGGCACCCTGCATCACACACAGCCCCTCCAGGAAAGTGAGCTGGTCCTTAAAGAAGTAGAATAAATTTAATCTGTACCTATAAGAAGTCTAGGCTAGTGGCAGTCACGGCCACCCAGCGACTGGGCAGAGCCTGGCCCCTGGCCCCTGCAGGGGTCCCAGGGGACGCAGAGGCACCCCTCAGTTCACAGAGGCGGCTGGCAGGATGTTGGCTTTGCGCTCCGCTTCAATGCAGTACTTCTCAGGGAGGCCGGTGGCTCTGCAGGGGAGGAGGGCGCAGGGCAGGTGAGAGACGTGGGACCAGAGAGGAGCCGGTTGGGAGGGGGGGTTACAGACCCTGGCGGCCGGGACTCCCATCCCTGCTCCTCCGATCTGACCCCAGACACATTCCCGTCAGGACTCTGGCACCTGCCGCGGAGCCAGGAAGCCCCAGGCCCAGAGCCTCTTCAGAGTCAGGAGGAAGGGCCACCTCGCTCCGCCCGCCTCCCACACACCCTGTCCTTGGGGTGGGGGGTGGGGACGCGGTGGGGGCAGGGTCACACCTCAGCTCTTCGATCTTTTTCTTCTTGATGTCATCAATGCGCTCGCGCCGCTTCTGGGCCTCCTCCTGGAGCCGCCGGCCCTCCTCAAAGGTGGCGATGCGTTCCTGCACCTGCTTCTGCTGGTTCTCGCGCACCTGGCGCCGGAGCTCGTCCGCGTGTCGCAGGCGCCCCGTGGCCTTTTTCTCCTCCTCCAGCCGCTCCTTCTCGATCTGCTCTCTCTGAGCCCTGGAGGAGGCACAGCGGCTGTGGGACGGGCTGGGCTGAGCCGGCCCCGCAGCCCCGCGAGGAGAGGCACCCGGGGGAGCCTTCTGGAAGGGCTTCTCCAGGGGACATGCTTCAGCCACCACAGCCCCGCAGGCTCCCCCGGGGCATGCCGCCCTCTCACCCTGGGGGGGGGGGGAGGTGGCTCAGAAGGACCCCGTGCTCGCTTCAGTTCTCCTCCATCACTGTTTTGAAATTCTTCATACTTTTTGAAGCAGGGGTCCCACTTTCTTACATGTCACCAGCCCTTGCAAATTACGTAGCTGGTGTGTGCTCAGGGTTTCACCCACTGGAAGCTACTGTTCCGGATCTTTCTGTCGTATCTCTGGCTTGTTCTAAGATAGCCTCTCTCTCTCTCTCTCTCTCCCTCCCTCCCTCCCTTCCCACGAGCAATAACAATGACATTAACAAAACTGCAAAGGGGGTGCTTAGAAGTGACAAGTGCTGACGTCTGTTGTGCAGCCGCTCCTACTTGCTGGAAGAAGGAAGGAGCGCGCCCTGGTATCTCTCAGTGCTCCTCGTGCTGCCAAGACTTCTCCCCGATTTCCCTGGCCAAGCGGCCCCCATATGGGCCAGACAGGCTCCGGAAAACTCAAAGGGACTGTGTTCACATCCCAGGGGAAGCACAGTGCTAGGCCCCCCCAAGCTATCATCTTAGTTCTTTCTTTTTTATTTTCATTAAATTGTTTTTTAATTTTGTTAGTGTTTCTTTTATTTTTTGAGAGAGAGAGAAAGAGACAAAGCACGAGCAGGAGGGGCAGAGAGAGAGGGAGACACAGAATCCAAAGCAGGCTCCAGGCTCCGAGCTGTCAGCACAGAGCCCGACGTAGGGCTCGAACTCACGAACCGTGAGATCATGACCTGAGCCGAAGTTGGACGCTGAACCGACTGAGCCCCCCAGGCGCCCCCATCTTAGTTCTTTCTTGACATAATCAAAAACAAACACAGCATGTAAAATCATCCTAGGCAGTGACTTCTCACCTGCCCCCCTATCCCGAGCGTACTCATACCCCAGCAAAGCTTCCAAAAGCACAGGTCACTTCCTTGTCTCCCCAGACCCGCGGCACACAGGCATCGTCTCAGCTCTGGGCACCCTCACTGCTGGCACCTCTCCAACCCTGCCCCTTGCGGAGAGCCCCTCAGGCTGTCGGGAGACACCTGCTGGCTTCCTCGCCCTCTGTGTTTAGACTCGGAACCTCAACCTCTTTGACACGGCTGTGATGGCAGAAAGCCTTGCCTCCTTGCCTCGCCCTTACTTTCCTAGATAGAGAAAGGTTTTCTGTTGTTTTACATCATGTAAGACAGGGTGGAAACAGGAACCCGCATCTGTTGCCGGAGACCCCCTGGGCTGGCAGGCAGTGAGAATCTGAATGGGGAAGGGCCTGGTCACTTCACGGGCCAAGGGCGGTGACCTTGGAACCTGGGCCTCACCCCAGACCAGTTACATCAGAAGCTGTGGATGTGGAGCCTGGGGCCACCATACTTTGTGAAAGCTTCCAGGCAATTCTCTGAGCCACGGGGGAGGCTAGGTCAGCTCTCTCTGCCTAGTCGGTGAGCTGAGACTCAAAGGCCTCCCTCCGTCCAGAAGCAGGAAGCCCAGAGAGAGGCCATCTCTCCAAGGTCACGCTTTGAAGCAGGAAAAGTTGGATTGCTGGCTGCGGTAGACACGTCCCTGGCACTTGGAGACACCTGGCCTGGTGGCCACGTGGCCCGGGAGACACCAGGTCTAGATGCTAACCTAGAACAGCGGGGGAAGCCGAACATCTCCAAGGGGCTGATCTCGCTTTAATAACTGGCTGGTGCCTAGTTATTGCCAACAAAGCAAAGACGGGACAAATGGGTCAGGGGCAGAAGTAGGGCTTTAATTTCTCTCCATTAATACTTATTAGTGCCTGCTAGAGGCATGCAGGCGGTGAGCACAGGCATCTGAAAGGTAGTTTGGAGCCCAGGGGCAGAATCTTCGGGGCCATTGAGGAAGCTGCCTTCCTCAGCAGGCTTCTGGAGACCACAGCACGACCCTTGAGGGCAGGGAAAGGGCGCTGCGGTAGGGGGCGGGGGGAGGGAGGGGGAACAGGCTGGGGGCCCACAGCCCCATAAAAGGCCAGGACCCTGGCTCTGGCAAGGACTGAGATTCCTACAGATCTGCTCTGCCTCTGGCCCGGGGGTGGGGGGTGGAGTTGGGGGTCTGGAATGCATCCAATAGGGCCCAGCACCGAGGAGGACATGGAGCGCGCACCAGGTAGACCAGAATGCTGGGCCGCACGGCTCGTCTCTCCTCACCGGAGCGCCATGTCTGTACTTTTGTATCCACGCCCCCATTGCAGTTTGGTTTGTTTCCTTTGAAAGCTTCTGATATCATAGAGTCTGAACCAGAGCAAGAAAGGAGTCACCCCCGTTCCTCCAGAACAGCTAGCTCTGGGGAATACCCCAGGGGGTGGGGGTGGCAGATCCGATGGATTGACGCCAGATCAGTGTGGCTCTGGGGGTGGATGACGGGTGGGGAGAGTGACAGATGTGAACAGGTCACTTCCACTTACAGGTCGGGATTATCAGCGAGCCAAAAGAGAACAAAAATCAAAGGATGGCAAGGCAGGAAAGATGAATATAGGCGAGGTCAGTCCGAAGAGGAGCTCCTCACACCCTTCCCACATGGATGGACAAGAACAGTATTTTGCTCGCCTCAAATGTGTGCCAGACCAGAGTCTTGAGTTTATGCACTTAATACTACTTATCAAATGAATGGCAAAGACACCCCCCCTCCAAAGCTCTTCTCTGATGACTCAACCTCGGTGTCTGAAGCTCTCTCTACTCCTCTTAACACCCCCCCCCCCCCCCCCCCCCCCCCCCCCCCCCCCCCCCCCCCGCTGCAGCCTCCTCCTTAACTAGCAGGGCACATGGAGGCAGGAGATGGCAGAGGGATCAGATGTATACTTTTACTTACGCCTTTAATTCTCTGGATAAACCATCCAAATAATACCCAATTCTTTAGACACTTCCAGGTGCTAGTTTCCAAATCCCTAATCAGAAAATTCTTGGCTCTTGGCTCCCGGGGCGCCTGGGTGGCTCAGTTGGTTAAGTGGCCAACTTCAGCTCAGGTCATGATCTCGCGGTTCGTGGTTTCAGGCCCCGCAACAGGTTCTGTGCTGACGGCTCGGAGCCTGGAGCTGCTTCGGATTCTGTGTCTCCCTCTCTCCCTCTCTCTCTGCCCCTCCCCCTCTTGAGCTCTATCTCTCTCTCTCAAAAATAAATAAACATTAAAAAAATTTTTTAAAAATCTTGGCTCCCAATTCTTGTCTTTGAAACATTTCAGCTTCGCATCCAGTCAGGATGGCTCCACCGTCCCGGGTCCCTTCCCCCAGTGCGGGCCATCCCTGCCACAGGACAAGGAAAGGAGGCCGAGGGGCCCGGCCCCACCTACCGAAGAATCCTCTCGAACTCTTCACGGTCCCGTTGCACCTGAATGGCCAGGGTGTGCTCCTTGAAGGCCACCTGCTCCAGCCGGCTTTGGCGCAGTTTGGCCTCTGTCTCCATCTTCTTCTGCGCATTTTCCTTTTCCTTCCTGCGCCACTCCCTGTCGGCAACCTCCTGGTTGCGCTTGGCCCGCAAGGCGTCCTGGGGAAGGAGAGGGTGGGGAGACCAGCAAGGGTGCAAGCCGACCCCGGGCCAACCCCGGCACCTTAGGAAGACACCATCTGCAGACTCCGATACAACCTGCTTTGAGGCGAGCCTGGATTTCTCTGACAACAAGGTCATTGTGGGAAAGAGGCTGTAGAATCTCGGAGAAGCTTCCAGTCTGCAGGTACCCCAAGGGGTCACCTTGCCCTCCCTCATGACCACAGATCCCAATTCTTTCCCTAGACCTCCAACACCTCCAGGCGGTCCTGCAATTGCCTCTCATTTTAAAAACTGCTAACGACGATGACGACGGAGATGTCCCATTTCCTCTGGTGACACTTTTCAGTGATTAGCTAAGGGCGAAAGTTGTTTACGTAGCAGTCAAAAAACGTTCTCTTGAATCTTCAGCACAGAGTGCATGGCCCCATCCTCACTGCCGTAGCCCTGGGGGTGGGGTAGGCCCTTGACCCTCAGAGTGCTCAAATCTAGGTAACCTGCACCCCCTCTTCTGCAACTCTGCCCTCTGGGGCGGTTTCGCAGGCTATCAAGGGACGAGTTAAGGGAGTAGGGGGTGGGGGCCGAGGCTGAGGATGTACCTGCTCTGCCTGGCGGTCCTGGGCTTTCTCCTGCATGGCCCTCAGACAGGCGATCTCCTTTTCTTTCTCCCTCCGGATTCTCTCCTGCTCGGCCTCGAACTCTGCTTCTCGAGCCTGCCAGGAAGACAAGGTCTTGTAGACCAGCCCCTACTGCACAGCCTTGCAGAGGCTCGACGTCCCTGCCACGGTGTGTCTGGTGTCTCCCATAGGGCTCCCTGCCTCCTTTTAGCGTAGGATAAGACAAAACTAGCAATGCGTGGACATAAAGCCAATCAGCACCGTTTACAAAATGCTTCCTACTGTAGGATCCCAGGGGGCCCGACATTCCGTGAGTTATTATAGACGAGGACACGGACGCCCAGACAGAGCAAGGGGTCCTGCCCAGGATGGCGTTAGCCAGTCAGCTACCAAAGAGGACTTGAACGCAGGCATCCCAAGCCCAGCCTTCACAAGCCGTCCGCTGCCTCGCAGACCATGTCCACGTAGCGAAGCCAGTGGGCCGAGTTTCTACAAGTAACTGCGGCGTCCTGCCCGCCATGTAAAGTACAGCAGGTGGGGGTGATCTCACTAGTCCCTGGGCACATGGCCCACCACGCTTTGGGCAGCCCTGCGGTGGTCGGCAGCTGGTCTGGGTCCCACCTGGCCCTAGATGGCAGGGCAGGGAACTCTGGAGACTTCCACAACCAATCCTGCCATTAGCGCTAAAGGGGCAGCCTCGGCTGCAAGAACAGAGACCCGGGTGAGGTGAGTCACAGGTATACGCGATACACAGATGGCGGGCTGTGGGCGTGCCCCAGTGCCCAACCCCTGCCAGTTCCAGCCTATCCCAGCTCCTCTCCCCAATGTCCCTTCCACGTGTGAAGACCAGTCCTATTCTTCTCCTGCTCAGAAGTCTCTGGTGACTTCCCCACCAGTCCACGCCCCCAGCTCTGCTCAAGGTCCAAGGTGTCGCCAACAGCCGCTCCCAGCACCCCGTTGCCTCGCCACCTCAGCTCTTGTCACGACCGCCACGGGCTCTGCCGCAGCCAGCCAACTGTCCACCAGCTCCCACACGTGACCAGCTCATCAGCACTACATCCACCCACTCAGGAAACGGTAGCTGAGTTCCGCACAACGCGCACAGCATTGTTTCAGGTATGCTCAGCCCTGTCTGCTGTTGGGCTTGCAGCGAAGCATTCGGGGTATTTTGAATCAGTCAGTGACAGGGTTTACCAGGTGTCATAATGGCTCAGTGAGGCAACACCTGTGAAGCCCTTCGCACAGAGAGCGTGCCCAGACTGGGCTTCGGATGTACGGCAGCTTCATGATCGTTACGATGTCCCAACCATCCCTGCCCCCAACCTTCCCTGCCTCCAACCTTCCCTGCCCCCAACCATCCCTGTTCCCAACCCTCCCTGTCTGTCCCCAACCTTCCCTGTTCCCAACCTTCCCTGTCCCCAACCTTCCCTATTCCCAACCTTCCCTGTCCCCAACCCTCCCTGTCCCCAACCCTCCCTGTCCCCAACCTTCCCTGTCCCCAACCATCCTTGTCCCCAACCCTCCCTGTCCCCAACCCTCCCTGTCTCCTTCCCTGCCCCCCACCATCCTTGCCCCCGGTCTCTGTTCCTGTTAACACCTGCATCTCCTGGTATCCAACAAGCAAGCCAAAGCCAAACAATAAATAAATAAATAAGCTTTGTTGAGCATAATTTTCTGTGGTTTGCATTTGGAGCATCCAGTGTGCCTCTTCGGAGCTCGCCTGTGCCACCCCCACCCCACCAGCCCTACTACAGAGGAGGAGGGTGTGCTCTGTCACCGCAGAGCCTCACAGCTAGCAGGGGACGCAGACACGTGAAGGACTGATCACTTCCCTGCCACCTTCAGCCCTTCCTTCTCCTGTTACATAACTCCACATTGGCTCCGTCTAAGCTGGGCTTAGAAGCTTCTGTTCACTCTCCTCCCTGACCCGGGTCCCTCTGGTTCTCAGCCCCGCTCCTGAGTGATCCCACATGGCAAGCAGCCTCTCCCTGAATCCTCTGCTCTGCACCACATCTGTGCTTGTGGTCTTCCACAGCCGCTGTGGGAGAAGGCTCTATTTTCTAACACCCAGGACAGGATGCCCAATCCAGGAATTTTCACAAGAAAGTTATGGGGCAGGTGACCCGTGATTACTGGGGATATAATTATCCAGGCTACCAGGAATCCACTAAAACTTCACTTTCCCCAATAGTTTTCATTTTGTTCCCTGCCTATACCTGACCCTCATCCAACTTCTAATCAAAGGTGTTAACAAGGATATAACGCTCTAAATTGGGTGTCCCTTCCAGCCTTCTCTCTGTTAATGAATAAGTGGACTGGCCAAGATGATGAGGAAAAGAAGCCAGGTCCTTGAAGGAAGGACGACAGTTTTGGAAGGGAGGCAGGGCTGCTGCAGTGAGTCCCCTCAGATCTCAGGCCAGCCTCTCCATTGTAGACGTTCCGTTCATGGCCAGAGATCCCAAGGCTCAGGAAACTACCATTTCGGGGGCACCTGGGGGGCTCAGTTTGTTGAGTGTCCAACTTTGGCTCAAGACATGATCTCATGGTTTGTGAGTTCGATCCCCACATCAGGCTCTGTGCTGACAGCTTCAGATACTCTGTCCACCCCCCTCTTTCTGCCCCTTCCTCCCTTGTCAAGAAAGAAAGAAAGAAAGAAAGAAAGAAAGAAAGAAAGAAAGAAAGAAAGAAAGAAAGAAAGAAAGAGAAAGAAAGAAAGAAAGAAAGAAACCAACCATCTTCTTCTTGGTGAACTCCATCACCATCTGGTCCGCCAGCTTCTCCTGAGCGAGCAGCTCTGCTTTCTGTTTCTGGTTTTCGTCATTAATGCGCTTAATCTCAGCTTGCATCTTCAGCTTCTCCTGGTGCCTTTGCTCCAAGTCCTGCCATCAGAAGGAAAAGAGCCTCCGAGTGGAAGGGGACCAGGAGACACTGCACGTCGGGGCAGAGACACAGACCGAGGCAGGGGATGCACTCCGTCTGCGGCCTAGCCACTGCTGCTGCAAACGTCGCCATTGACCCCTCACAGCCCCTCTTTGCCGTCTATACCCACTTGGCTTGGTGGCAGCCTGGACATTGTTGATTTCTAACCAACTCAGGGAAATGGAGGCTCTTAAAATTCTACCTGGAGTCCCCCACGGGGCCTGCAAAGTCCTATCCCCTCCTCCTCGCCTTCTCACCTGCCTACAGTTTCCTTCTCTTAGTCAATCCCGAGCTTTTGGTCTCTACTCAACGGTGATGAGTGAAATAATAAAGCGTTACCCTCACTGACTGTTTTGTATCCATTGGGCACCTATACAGCCCAGCTCTGAAACCTAAATGGGCACCCCAAAACCCTGAAAGGTAAAGCTTGTTATGTCTGCCCTGCCAATGAAGACATAGAGGCCACGAATTTGAGTGACTTGTCCAGGGCCATCCAGCTAACAAACTCTAGTTCTGGAATTTTGGAACCTGATCTTTCTAAATTAAAGTTCCAATCTTCCTTGGAAGATTTTCTGCCAGTTCTCTCTGCATTTCTGAATCCCTTCTACACTTAAGATGGGGCCACAGCTCCTGGGATTTGGTTCGGCACTGCCTTGTGGCATTCATTCATTCATTCCTGTGGGTTTATTCTGTCCCAGCCAGAGCACAGGGACCACGTCATACGTCCTGTCTTCTCTCGCAACATGCAGCCCAGGGAGAGGAAAACAGCAAATACTCAATACACCAGAAAAGGGAAAGGGGGAACCAGAGTGAGGGGCATGTGAGCAAAAGAAAAAAAATGGTAGACACAGAGAAACACAATGAATGATGGAGGTCAGAGTGCCTGACGCTGAGGGACAAGATCCCTTCTAATGAAGGAGCCTGAGCCTTTCAAAGCCCCTGATGACCTGACGGAGCACATTCTCAGGTCCTGATGCAGAATCTTTTTAAAAAATTTTTTTAAACATTTATTCAATTTTGAGACAGAGAGAGAGAGAGAGAAAGAGAATGGGGGAGGGGCAGAGAGAGAGGGAGACACAGAATCCAAAGCAGGCTCCAGGCTCTGAGCGAGCTGTCAGCACACAGCCTGACGCAGGGCTCTAACCCATAAGCGGTGAGATCATGACCTGAGCCGAAGTCGGATGCTCGACCGACTGACCCCCCCAGGCGCCCCCCAATGCAGAGTCTTGTGCACAAGACGGAAAGTCTGAACCTGGCCCACCTGTACTCTCCCAGGGATTTCCATCCCTATGCTTCCAATTATTCTACCTATCAACTCCTGCCATGTGCTGTTTCCAGCTCCTTCCTTGAAGACACTGAGGCCCCAGATTTAAGTGACTTGTCCAGGGCCATCCAGCTAACAAAGTCCAGTTTGACCTCCAGGCGGGACCTCACCCTGGGACTTCCAGCTCCTCCTTAGCCCGGCTTCTGACCTGACTCATCCAAGGCAACTCTGCGGGCTCTCCCCAAGCTTGACTCACAGCCAAGTTCACGGCTCCCAGGAAGCCTCGTGCACCAGACCGGCACAGTGCTGACCGCCCCCTGCCAGGCCTGTGGTGCGTGAGTCATGGTCGAGAGCGCTCTCTCACTCTCGCCGTGCCTACCTCCTCACTCACCCCACTTTTCCCCACCTGGCCCAGAGGCTCTCCACTCCTTTCCCCCTTCTCCCTTTCTTCCTCTCCTTTCTACCTGCTTCCCCCCTGGAGTTAGACCTGCCACTGGTACCCATGCATTATTTAATCCCATTGACCAGCTCAACTTGAAAACCCGCTGACCTCCCGTCCACGATATATACAAGCATGCATGGACTCATGTCTTTGCTTGTTTATTTACCTTCCAGTCTGTTGTTTTTGTGGGTTTGCTTCATTTCCAAGAAACCGAAGGACTTGCACTGTCTCTGATCTCTGAACCCATTCCAAATCTACCCCAGGGAAACACTCTTGTTAGCGAGGCGGGGGGTGCTGCCCCGCACTATCCTGAGATGATAAGGCAGGTCTGAGCTGGGAGACACGCATTCCTTCCTTAAAGCTGCCTAAGAACACTTCCTGGAACCTCGGGAAGTGCCTCTCTGAAGGACAGCACCCGTGCAATGACACGCATCAGGCCATGGCGTTGACTCAAGATCACCTGGAACTTTCTCAGGGAGTCCCCCGTTCCCCCTCCAACAACCTAGCCAGATCTCCCGGTCTTCCTTTCTCACCCTTCCCCTGCATGTTGAACCCCTATCTCCCCTTCCTGGCTCTTTCCTGGGCTCCGGAGCCAGGAGCTCGGCCAGGCCTCTCTGGCTCCTCGACGCAGCTGGGCCGTCTTCTCAAGTGGCTCACAAAGCTGCCGGCTCTCCGGCCTCCCTCTCTTCGTGCTCCTCACCTCTCTCCCCTCACAGGCCGTCCCAAGGCGGGCACTCTGAGAAGCCTCCATAGCCGTTAGGCTGTCCCCCTCCCCGTCCCTCACTGCCATCGCTTCACTGGGGGATGACAGCCCGTCCCTTCACGTGGGGAACGAGGAGAAAAATTAAAGAGTGTGTGTTCCACAGGTTAAATGACAGCGTGAAGAAATAATCCAACACACCAGAAAGGGAGACTCTTCAAGTCAGCTGGCCCGGGGGCTTCAAAATACCAGTGCCGCAGAAATGGAGGTAAGAAGGAGCCAGAGAGCTCTTTCAGGTCAAAGCCGACTAAGGAGGCCGACTAAGGAGGCCTAAGTGAACGCGGGGTGAGGACCTTAATTGGATCCTGGCTGGAAGGACAGAAAACCAGTCAAGGCACATTGGTGGGTCCACTGGGGGATTGAATGTGGATTGAATATTAAGTGATATCATAGAATCACTGGATTCTGCTTTTGATGAGGGGCTGTGATAGCCATTCTGTCTGCCGGATGGAGAATGTCTCCGCTCTTCAGGGGTGAGGGCTGCAGCGTTTAGTAGCAAAAGCGTCAAGACACCTGCAACTCACTGCCACACAGCATAACAGTGACAGAATGCGTGTGCGCTCCGGAAAGAGACAGGCAAGCAAGGCAGATCAACAACCAGCAAGTCTCCAAGTCTCGGTGCAGCACTGATGGGTGTGGCTCAATCCTTTCAGCTCACCCGTGTGCATAAAAGTGTTCACAGGCCAAAAACTGAGTGGGGGGGGGGGGCGGTAATAAATAAATGTCCCAATGCTCTCCATGCCCCTCATTGTGCGAGGGGCTTCTGCCTCTTCCCAGCAGAGCATACCCGTCAACAGGAGGGGATTTAAGTCCGTCTATGGAGTCCTTCTGGCAGGTATGTCATTTCCTTGGCTATGGGTAAGCCTGTGGTTTTACTTAGCTGAACACGGCTCTTCCACACAATTAGCCACACTGGGGTGCCCTTCGCTTTGAATGAGGGAGCAGCAGGGAGCCCGGGCCATGGACCCTCCTCCCATCCACCTACACAATGTAACTTATCCCTGGATAATTGCGGGAGGACTAGAAACTTCCCTAGGCTTATTTGTGCAAGGCAGGCAGCTATTTCCTTTATGCGTCCTGTCCGTTCACATGGATGTGTCAGACCCCGCGTCCCGGGGAGGCGGGGACGGTATCTGTCCAAATCCCTGCTCCCCCCGTGTGGTGCCACGGCCAAACGCATGTTCAATATGGCAACAAAAAGTGAAGGGGCGCCTGGGTGGCTCAGTCGGTGAAGTGTCCGACTTCGGCTCAGGTCATGATCTCACAATTTGTGGGTTAGAGCCCTGCGTCGGGCTCTGTGCTGACAGCTCAGAGCCTGGAGCCTGTTTCAGATTCTGTGTCTCCCTCTCTTCTCTGCCCGTCCCCTTGTCCTCTCTCTCTGTCTCTCAAAACATGAATAAACGTTAAAAAAAAAAAAAGTTACTGGTGGCCATGTGAAATGCACAGGTGCCCGACGGAAAGCCAGTCCGCAGCCTGAGCCGAGTCTCGAGCGCCTTGCCGGCACCGTGGGGGGCCCGTTACCCGCAGGTCCTCCTGCTGAAGCTGCTCCATGTACTCCAGCATCTGCTCCTTCTCCTGCTCCCGCTGCTCCGCCAGCAGCGACCGCTCCTCCCGATTCCTTTCCATCTGCTCCACGATGTGCCGTCTGCCTCTAGGAGCAAACGGCACCGCAGGGGTTTAGAAACCCGGGGCCCACGCGTTTCTGCTCCACCCGCCACCTAAATAACCCCCAAGATGGGAGATGGCGGTCACGGGGTCACTTTGACGAGCGCCCCGTGAGACATCGCTGTGCTTCGTGAGCCCAGAGGCGGCTGTTCCCTGTCTTCCAAACTCCCTTTCTTTTACAACAGTGTTTTAATGTTTATTTATTTTTGAGAGAGAGGGAGACAGACAGAGCACAAGCAGGGGAGGGACAGAGAGAGAGGGAGACTCAGAATGTGAAACAGGCTCCAGGCTCCGAGCTGTCAGCACAGAGCCCGACACGGGGCTCGAACCTACAAACCGTGAGATCATGACCTGAGCCAAAGTCGGACGCTTAACTGACTGAGCCCCCCAGGCGCCTCCTCCAAGCTCCCTTTCTTGAGATTCCCCTTCTTTGTTGGTTTGCCCACATGTGCACCCCACATCGCAATGCGCCTTCTCCCTTTCATTGTGCAAAAGGCTTCTGAAATCCTAGCGTCCCCCCCAAACCTGTCTGAGCAATCGTGGGGAGCTGCCCTCCTGTGCCAGCTTCACAGTTAGAAAGCCCACGACCCCCTTCCTGTGCAACCTCTGCTGCGTCCTGTCCTGTCTCCCAGCCACCTCCCACGCCCCCTTCATTAGCCGTCTGTCCGTCTCATGCCCCGGCCCTCACCGCCGGTGGACAGGGCTGGGTGCGAGCCAGCCTCTCCGCTCAGCGATGCCCTGGCTTCACAGTAAAAAGCAGAGAGCCCAGAGTCTACAATCAGCGTGGCCGGTGACTCCCTGTGTGTTGTTGGGGTGACAATAAACCTCAAGGCGTCCAGACCCCACGACGGATGAGTAAAGGCAGGGACAGTGAGAGAAGACACGGGCTGGGGTGAGAATTGGGAGGAAGGACTATGAGATTCCCATCCAGGTGGAGCCCTTGAATGGCTTCATGACTCCAGATGAAATAAACAGGAGGAATGAGTAAAAGAGTTGCAGGGAAACAGACTGAGGCTCAATATAAGGACCAGCTCACATCATTAGAGCAGCCTAATGAGGCAGGCAGAGATTTTTTTCCCTAATTAGAGCTGTTTGTGCCGAAGATGAAGAACTACTGAGCTATTAAATAAGTGTTTATAGGGAGCCTACTGTCGTCTATACCTACGAGAAGTACAGGGATGAATGGTCCAAGAAGACTGAATCAGACGGAGAGACACCAGCCAGTTGGTGCGGTTCCAGGACTCTTTAAGGAAATAATTCCTGCCTTACACAGTTAGTGTTCTAGATCTTGGACACCAGGATTCTATAATTTACCTCCTCTGGGGATTGTCCTTTAGCGCAAAAGGAAGGGGACTGAATTTATTCGTTCTAACGTGTTAAACGCAGGCCCGACTCTCCGCTGGACCCAGGAGCTACAGAAATGAATTAAGAGAGGGGCGCCTGGGTGGCTCAGTCGGTTAAGCGTCCGACTTCAGCTCAGGTCATGATCTCACGGCTCGTGGGTTTGAGCCCTGCATCGGGCTCTGTGCTGACAGCTCGCTCAGAGCCTGGAGCCTATCTTTGGATTCTATGTGTCCCTCTCCCTATGACCCTCCCCTGCTCACACTGTCTCTCTCTCTCTCTCAGAAATAAATAAAACATAAGAAAAAAAAAATGAATTAAGAGAGGGATGCCATCCTCAGGGAGCGCGCAGTCTGACGCGGGCCAGGGAGCCACGGGGCAAGAAGCAGTGTGCAGGGGCATAACACAGGGTGGGCAGGCATGACATGGAGCCGCGAGCCTGCCCGGTGAAGTGAGAGGGGTTTGGGTGGGGGGGAGGTGAAGGCCAAGCCACACGCTGAAAGAAGAGAAAGCACTTTCCAAGGGAAAGGGGAAGAAGAGGAGGCTTCAGAGCAGGAGGAAGGACAGGAACACAACTGTGACAAGCCCAGGCTTGCTGGGGGAGGGGACGGCGGGGAAAGGAGGGTATTGAGGCAGAACAGGGGCCAGATTGTGAGGCGCCCGTTATGATCTTAGGAATCAGCTTCGAGGAGCACTGCGGTTCTGGGAATCTCTTCGTCAGGCTCTGAGATAATAATAGATGGCGATGATGACCATTTCTCTGCCCCCTTTGCAAGGCCACCTGGACCCAGGGATCCGCGGAAATGCCAGGGAGGGAGATGCCAAAACCCCCGCTTTACCGGATTCTTTCCTCCCTCCTCTTCCTGTCTAGCTCCTCCTGCCTCTGAATGGATTTCTGTCGCTCCACCTCCATCATCTGATCCAAACGCTTCTCCTCTGCGTCCAGCTCTCTTTGAATCAGCTGCTTCTCCAGGATTTGGGCATCCCGGATGGCGTGGCACTTGGCGTTGAGGATGATCTGGAGGCAGGGAGATGACACAGGGCACTAGGTCAGGGCACAGGGACGGGGCGGATGCACCAGGGGGAGTAGAAGGCGGAGGCGAGAGACGGGTACCACTGAGCATGCTGGACGCGGCCACAGCTTCGCACAAGCCTGGGAGGATGCGAGCATCCTGCTGCTCACCCTTCCCTTAGCAGAGCTCCACGCTAACACGGGCCGGGCGTCTGCAAAGCGCTGGTCTGTGCGAGGAGAAGCCACAGGAGCTCCTTTCAGGGTATCAGTGTTGTGGGGTCATCACTCTCTGAGAACATGAGGAAAGCTCTGAACTCCGTCCTCCTTAAGATTCACTTACATATGTGCACATAAGATTCCCATGAACCTTGGGGCGCCCTGGGGGCTCAGTCAGTTAAGCGTCTGACTTCGGGGCTCAGGTCATAATCTCGCAGTTTGTGGGTTCGGGCCCCATGTTGGGCTCTGTGCTGACAGCTTGGAGCCTGGAGCCTGCTTTGGATTCTGTCTCCCCTTCTCTCTGCCCCTCCCCTGCTCATGATCTGTCTCTCTCTGTTTCTCAATAATAAATAAACATTCAAAATTTTAAAAAATTGTCCACGAAACTTCAGGGGTTCGAGGTCCCCCCTTGAGGACCCTTGAAGCCCCATATTTAGACCCTCTGTTCTGCTTCTCAGGGAAACTAACACACTTTTGCAGAGACCCAGCTACCGAAGAGCCCAACAAGACCCATCAGGGGATGGCCATCTATAAGAATGACCAAGATAAAGTTCTGGAAAATAAAAGGAGGCCTGAGGACAGCCCCACCTGAGAGAGAAGGTGTAAATGAAGGGGTTGGGAGCCCGCAGTGTTCATTTGCTTGGGAAGGGAACCACATGCAAATGAGAAACAAACAGTCCAGAGGATCCTCGGGCCCTCATGCTCTCGGCTAAAGGAACCACTTTGCCTCCTGGGAAGAAGCCTGCTGTGGGGGGCGCTGCACGTGGCCAGAACCGAACCGGCAGGACAGACACAGGAGTCACATCGTCACCTTCACTTGCCCTCCACACTTCCCGAAGCCACTGCCATGGGTTAGCCCAGTTCACCCTGATCCATCACCCTGCGGAGAGGGTTGACCACTCTCCTTTTACAAATGAAGGAAGTGAGGGGCGCCCGGGTGGCTCAGTCAGTTAAGCTCAGCTCGGGTCATGATCTTGCGGTTCATGAGTTCGAGCCCCGCGTCGGGCTCTGTGCTGACAGCTCAGAGCCTGGAGCTGCTTCGGATTCTGTGTCTCCCTCTCCCTGCCCCTCCTCCGCTCACTCTCTATCTCTCTCTCTCAAAAATAAATAAACATTAAAAATGTTGTAAAAAGAAAACAAATGAAGGAAGTGGGGCCCAGGGTGACTTGTGAAGGTCACACAGCTAGCGTGTGTCACGGCCGGTCCTCCGTGTGACCACAGCAACCCCCAACTCCGCCAGCCCCTCAGCGGTCACCCCTCCTTGCCCCACCCCTGCCCCACGTCCAGCCCAGCAGAGCCCGTCCAGAGAGTAAGGGGAGGGGCGGCGCCCTGGGGTGCGGAGGAGCGGCCGCACCTTGCTCATGCCCCTGAGCTCCTCCTCCTGCTGGGCCCGCAGCCGGCTGGCTCTCCGCAGCAGGTCCTGGGCCCTCTCCTGGGCCTCCTCCTCCAGGTCGCTGAGCTTCTTCTTGCTCCTCTGCACCATATCCTTCTGCTTCATGATCTTCTTGCGTGTGGTCACCGCGTCCTACGGGACGCAGCCCGGATCGGTGTGGGGACTGCCCTGGGCGCTGGCCCGGCTACCACGGGTGACCCTGTATGACCCCCTGCATGGCTTCGCCCCGTCATGCTGTCGGAACCCAGAAGTTTCTCAGCCTGGCTTCCTGCTGGCCCCGCCCCTGCCCCCCAGCCGCTCCCACCCCTGTTCAGCTGGCTCCAGTAAGCACACACCCACGCCTCCTTCCCAGGGCCCCCTGACCACAGCTCCCCCTCTCATCGGCAGAGATCGGGGCTTGGGGGAGGGCGGCTACCATGATGGCCTCTTTCTCCTTCTTGAAGGCCTGCTCCCTGGCCTCCAGCTCTTCCCTGGTCAGGACTTGGGATGCGCCCTTGATGCGCTCAAATTCCTCAGGGCTCATGATGAGGGACTCCCCGGAGGGATCCTTGGTGGGAACGCTGATGCAGGGGATGAGCAAGTCAGTGGGGAGGAGGGAGAAGCTCTCAGCACTGCTCTGCCCTCCCCTCCTCCCTCACCACTGCCAGCGACCCACAGGGCCGCCCCGATGGGCCGGCTGGGGAAAAGGGGCCCCAACGAGGGGCCGACAAAACAGAGACATTTTAAGGACTTTTGCTAAAAGGCCTGGTGCATCCATCGCCCTGTCTGTGCAGCTGTGAGCCCCAGGCACCCACCCGAGCCACCGACCGCACCCCACTCCTGCTGCCTGTGCTGTGGCCACGTGGGCGCAGCCTGGGTGCTGCACTGCACGCTCCTCCAGGATGCAGGCTCTGCTGACCGCACGCCTGGCCCCGACGCTCCAAACACTGGCCGTCCAGGCCCCAGCGCAGAGCTGGGCCTAGAGGCAGAGCTCAAAACAACGCTGGTGAACTGAACTCCAAAAATAGCTTATTCCTCAAGGACGACTTAAAAAGGGCACAGGGACGCCAGACGAGGTCGAAATGGATGCTGTGAGAAACCGAAGCATCCCTGTCCATCCGGCCCAGAGAGAAGCTTTGAACCCTAAATATTAATTAAAATCTGTGATCAACAACAGTTGGAGGCACGTCTGTGGCCCTCTCCCCCGAGCCGCCCAGCACATGCAACAAACCAATAGCTAATTATGATGATTACAAACAAATGACATACACAGAACGTGGAGGCGGGGGCAGCAGGGGCCGGGACTAAAGCTGCTTCTGGGTGAGGCCATTTAACAGCGACACGGCAGCCAGACGCAGACCGTCTGAGGCAGGAAGTGAGACCTCATCTCATAAAACTTGCGTGTGCACGTCTGCACGTGTGTGTGTGCATGTGTGCATGCATGCAGGTGTGAGCATGTGTGTATGTGTGTGCGTGTATTGTGCACGTGCGTGTGTGCTTGCATGTGTGAGAGCATGTGTGTATGTGTGTGCATGATGTGCATGTGTGTGCATGCATTATGTGTGCATGTATGCAGGCGTGTGAGCATGTATGTCTGCATGTGTGCATGTGGCAGGCGCGGGTGTGCATGCATGTGCGTATGTGTGTGCGTGTGTGCATGTGTGTGTGTTGGGAGGAGTCCAGGAGGAAGATCCAATGAGTGAGTGGATCCGGGGCATGGCCTGGGGCCAGAACGACCAGAAACGGTCTGTCTCTGAGATAGCACCTTGTGCGGGGAAGGCCTAGACCCCCCTCCAAGGAGGAGCCCTTCCTTAGGCCCCACAAGTAGCCGCAGGTCTGCTGACCATGAAGGGCCATTGGACACCAGGGCTGAGCAGAGCATGCTCGCGGGGCTGTGTCCCAGCCCTGCTTCCCCAGCTCCCGATGCGGACAGCATGGCCAGGGAGCTCATGATCTCAGCGGGTGGAGCCAGAGGAGTTGGGAGAAGGGTTCCAGAGAGTGCAGCTAGACGCACCCCTCCCACCCCCAGCAAAGGCTCAGTTTGCAAGGCTGAGGGAGGCCTAACCCCAGGGCACTGAGCAAGGAGGCAGCTCCAGTCAGAAGCCGAGCTGGGCCAACCCCAGAGGAACACAAGAGCCCTTGGGAATTTCCCTGGGAAGAAGCCAGGGGGCTGGTTGTCATCTGGTCAGTTTCTCCTCGCTTCAGATTCTCGGTGCAGCCAAAAGGAGGTGACTCATTTGGACCTTTACCGAGAGCACTCAGACGGGACCCACTGAGCACGGCCCTCTCACAATCCCATAGGTCCGTCAGCAGCCAGGAGACAATCCCATAGGTCCCTCAGCAGCCAGGAGAAAGGGAAAAGGAAGAAACTGGGGATTGAGAGTAAAGGCAAGAATAGATACAAATAGGGGAGAAACGAGAGAGGCCGGTATGCTGAGGAAGGAGAGCTAGCAAGCAAACAGGGGAGATGAACAGGAAAGAAGCCAGGGCCAGACCAACTCCATGAACACAGGGAGCACCCCCTTCCTGCACAGGTTTCTGGCAGAAGGGCAGGCTGGGGCAGCAAGTCCAGGCACCGCGTCCTGGGCACTCACATGAGTTTCCGGACCATGTATCGGGTGACGATCTGGATGGTCTCCCGCTTGCGGTCCGAGCTCAGGGCAGTGAGAGACTTCCGAATGGCATGCTTGTCTCGGAGAAGCACAGTGGGACCGTCGCTCTGGGCCAGAGGCTACGGGGTCAGGAAGCACAGCTTAGAAGCTGGTCAGCCCACATCCTCACGGTCAATCCTAACTTCTTCAAGCGTAGCCTTCCCCTCTTTCTGCCGCACCATCCAGGGGCAGAAAAGGCTGCCCGGCGCCCGGTGCTGTGGGGCCCTGAGGAAGCAGCGCGGTGCTCTGCACTTGAACCTGGCTGATGTGTTCTGTGCTGACCGGCTCCTCTGAGAACAAGCCCCCCACCTTGTCTTATGCACACACTCTGGGTGGATGGGGAGGGGGTGCCTAGTCTGTGCTCCTTCCCACCCCAAAACCATCAGGAACGAACATTGGGGGTCTCCATGTTCCCCTCCCTCCGTGAATTATTTAAGAAGAGAGAATGATCCCTCTTGGACACACCGTGGGTTCGAGATAACACACTGTGACACACACTCATCCAATCTATGATATTTGGAATTGTTTAAATCCTTAATTTACTTTGATCCCCACCACCCCCCCAAATCATATAGAGGGAGTTAGAAACGGCTAAAAGGCCTAGTGAGGACCTGCTCTTACATCTAATGTGGTAAGGAAGTCAGGGAATCCAAATTAGCAAGAATACATATTAAATGTATGATTTTTTTCCCCAAAATGTTCCAACCGTGAACAAATTTGATACTAAAAAAACAAAACCATTGGGGTGCCTGGATGCCTCAGTCGGTTAAGCGTCTGACTCTTGAAAACAAAAATAAAATAAAATGAACTAAAATAAAATAAAATAAAATAAAATAAAATAAAATAAAATAAAATAAAACAAAACACTTATTTCAGGAAAATTTTGAGCACAGGAGGGAATTTCACTTGTCCTGAAAGCAGTAACTGTGATCCTGAGTGGAGGCAGGGGGATGGCCTCAGCGGAGGTCCTTCCGGTCTGAGCTCCCTTTGCAGGGACGTCCCCGGGGCGCTGCTGCCCCCTGCTGCCCATCTGCCTCCAAGAGGACGCAACTCAGGCTCGCCGCGGACCGCGTCCGCCCCCTACTGGTGGCTCAGCGACTTCTGACTGGCCCCGCAGGAAGGCCAAAGAAATGGGCCAGGAACCGGCATTTTCCCCACTGCCCCTCCCGCTAGCCAGCTGGACGACTCCCGGAGAAGGCGGCCCTTTCCAAACCTATCTTCGCTGTAACTAGGAAACACCCCAAGGGCTCCAAACCAAAGCTGTCTGCAAGTGACAGGGCGCTCCTCCGACGCCTCCCCCCGCCCCCAATGCTCCCCCACCTGCCCACAGCACAGGTGTTCACACCTGGTCTTTTCTCGGTCTGTCCATCTCTCTCTCCTGGCCTTCCTTCCTTCTTACCTGCTGCAAGTCCCCAGTACCAAGAGCATCTCTAACCCCGCCCTAGCTAGCTCGCCCTCTCTGCACCTTCTCTCCTTCACTTACTGTGGGCAACATCTGCCCATGAAGACCTGCTCTGGGTTTCCCAAAGCTCAGTAACCCTGCTAGTTGAGCGAGCAGGGTGGGGTGGGGGCTCTGTTTCTTGCTGATGCTATTCTTGGATGGAAGGGAAACCTGTTACTCCCTCCCAATCTGCGAGCTGGACAGCGGCCCTCAGGCAGCTCCATCCTGGGGCCCTCACTGGGCATCCATCTGCTCTCTGCAGCAGAGCCCCCTGTCGACATCACAACAGGTTTTACGTGCCAGGCGGACATGTGAGGATTGCAGGGGTGCGGGGAAGTTCACAGGGGCTGCTCAGGTCTTCCTCGGAGGGTCACCTGGGAGAGGGCTGGCTTGTCCAGCACTAGCTCTGTCCTGAGCAACGCCGGCCCCGGTCACTGCCTCCACCAGCCGGCCACCTGGAGGGGCTGGGTGAGGGGTTACCTTGACCCGTCCGAAGAGGTTCTCATCCACCTCGGAGCTCACGGCTTTGGTCCGATAGCGAGTCTTATTTCTCGACCTGTTGGAAGTGGCGGAAGAGGAGCTCAGGATGCCAGAGGCACTCAGTGGCTGCAGGGAGAGGCAGAGAGTTTGGGTCACCAGGACTGAGCGCCCTCTGGTCCCTGGGCAAGGTAAACACTCTGCCAGCCTGTGGTGGGGAGAAGCGGGTAGAAAACCACTGACAGAAAGCACCTGGGAAGCCCTGCAATGTAGGAGACACCCCACAGAAGTGGAGGGGCCTCTGTGGAGGGGCCAGGTGAGGGGGCATTTCCTCGCCGCGGGGCTGACGGAGGCCAGGTCCCCGTGTGGTACGGAAGCAGGGAGGAAGAACACAGAGATGGAAGGAGGAGGACATCATTGTCATCCTGGCCCCAGTTTCCCACAAGGACACTCTCGTGAGGCCGCTTGAGCTTCCTCCCCAGAAATGCAGTGTCCTCCCCACGGGCCAGCCTCTCAGCCTGAGCTCTGAGCCCCCTTCACAACTAACACTGCTATCTGACCTCCTCCAAGTCTCTACAAGTTCACAAGTTTCCGGTGGGGACCAGAGGACCCAGAGGATGCAAAGGCACCTTGCCCACTGCTTAGCACACAGCGGGTGTCCAGTAAACTCCAGCGGATGAAGGATGAGCGATGGCTTGATGGTGTCCACCCTGTGGCTTTCCCTCCTGGGACCCCTAATGGGTGCACCGATCTGCGTTTAACCACCCAGTATCTCCCTACATTTGGAGAATTCCTCATCTGATGACTTGTGAGAGCTAAGGCCCATCTCCTCCAACTATAGACGCTGAAAACACCAGATACACATGCGCCTTCTGAGCCTGGGCAGAGGCCCTCAGCTTCACTGATTGGATCCCCTGAGCTAGAGAACGGAGGGGCGCTGATGGCCAAGAGAAGTGCTGGCAAATGCGGAGGTGGCCATACCCAGCGCCTGGGGCCGTGCTGATAAGGACACCCGCAGCAGCACCCACCAAGCTGCCAGAGTCAAAGGCCCTTGCCAGGCCAGGTCTGGGTTGTGATTCTGGCCCTGATTCTGGCTGCAGCATCTCCCTTTGTCATTTTCCAAGCATACTTTCCCAGCCAGGAGCTCTCCCAGCCCCTATCAATATATGCTCTTGAACTCAAAGTAGAATTCTGGCTCTGCTGCCTACACCAACAAGATGGGTGAAGACACCCTCCGTTCCCGAGGCTCAGCGTGGCTTCAGCTCTGCCCGGGGAGAAGTCTGTCTCCAGGAGGTGGGTCCTGTGAGGACCATGGGGCAACTCCAGGCTTAATCTAAAGCTGATCCAAATCCCCCTTGGAGGAGCCAAGCCATCCCACAGTTCTGAGCTGGGCTGTCTCGGGGGCCTGAGCTACCCACTTTGGGTCTCCCACACCTGGGAATCGGCAGCCATCCTGGGAAATAGATTCTGTTGTTCAAAGTCACCAAACACTGGGCAGTGTGTTCTGAAAGCTCTCTCCGACCTGCCCTGACCAGCCAGGCACCCCTGGACACCTGCTCCACCTGTATCAGGTGTTCACACTAAATGGGGAGATTATTCTCCAGCTGAGCTTGTGGGCCCTTCCCCTGGCTGCCGCTGGCTGACAGTGGGAGCCTGCCTTTACAGCCTCAGGCAGCCCCCTGTACAGCAGAGTGGGAAAGCTTGGATTTATTAAAAGGTAAATATAGCAGCCCCGAGGATGCCTAATAACAGAGTCTGAAGAGTTATTATATGGTAAGGGGTGAGCAATGGCTCCCTTTTCCACCAAAAATAGAATACGAAGAAATGAATAGAAGCTACAATAGGTAGGAGGAGGGAAAGCACTGGGGACACTGGGAAAACGTGGAAGTCATCGATTGGATCCGCAGGGATGGTGTGAGCTCTGTGTATAATTAAGGGGGAAGGTGTGATGGAAGATGGTAGATGCTGGCACGTGGTAGATGCTTAATATGCATTTGATGAGGAAAGAAAGAATAAAACCAAGCAAGATGACCTCTCGAGGGCTGCCGGCCAGTATGAGATGAGACCCTTTCTGGAACATGCCTGACTCCAGGTCACTATACCACTCCGCGTTTTCCAAATCACCGTGGAAAATAATGTGTGTGAAAGGGCTTTGGAATACAGATGGAAAGGATGATTATTGTTTTGCATGTGTTTTCCTGGTTCTTTTCAAGGGCTTCTGCAGGGTTTTTCTTTGCTCAGGTGTCCACCAGACTGCAGGTTCCTCCAGGGCTGAGATCCAATCCCCTCTTTCCCGTGCCATGGGTACCCAGGTCTAGAGGAAGTCACTCAAAAGATGCAAGCCTGAGCCTAGAAGGCAGAACAGAGGAAGGAAAAGAGATGACCACAGAAAATTGGCCACTGGGCAGGGCAGAGGGAAGCACTGAGCTCTCTAGGGTTGGGTGGCTGAGAAACCTCACTGGGGAAATGCTGACTTTGAAGCCACAAGCCAGCGCCATGGTTAGGATGGCCAGTTTCGCCAAGAGTAACAAGAAGGATTAGGGAGGTCACCGTGTAAAAGCACTAGGAAAAATGAAGAACCAAGCAGAAATGGAAAGTTAGATCCCTCTAGGCCAGAGACTGTGGCCAAAAGGTTCTTTCAGGAAGTGAAGGGCTGCTTTTATTTCTTGCATGACCAAATAAATAGCCCCAAGAAGTTGAGTGATGCCAGGCTAGTCCTCCTTTGGGGGAAGGGAGCTCTGGATGAAAGGGAAGGAAGAGAGACCTTTAAAACTGGCTATAGCTAGGGAGGCCAGAGCAACTGGGAGGATGGGGATGGGGGACCGATTAAAAATGCCAGCCCTGCTTTGATATTTTCATCTTGCTGACCTAGCTGACACTCTCTCTCTCTTCAAATACCATCCCACCCCAGGACCACAGGAATTTGGCCTCTGCTAGGAATTTGGGGAGAGACTCTGATGCCAAAAGATTAGCTGGTCAATCAGATGGTTTTCACTGTGTCATCGATAGAGGACTAGCTCCATAGTACATCGACTATTAAAGAAAGCAGATCATAAGAAACATGCAAGTTATTTCTGCAGAAATGTGTGTGTGAAGGGCACGCACCCAGCATGCGTATTGAAAAAATGTTCACAAAAATGTTGAACAGATATTGGGGGTGAACATTAGTATCTTAAGATAGTTCTTGTAGTGGATAATTTTCTGCCCTTGAGCAGGTAACATACTGTATTTATTTGAAAACAAAGCAGAGCCGTAGGCCTGGTGCTCTGACCCTGAACAGAAGAGTGAAGCCCTTACAAACTTCGGATCTGGTACGTTCAGCTCAAATCCAGCGAGAGAGCGGGAACACGGATGACAGATGGCCACGGACTTTCCCTGACGTAAGTGCAACACCTGTCCACCGAACAAAGACCTTCCAGTCCTTCTCCTGGGCATGCTCTCCACCCCGGGCTCCAGTCCCTCCTTTCATACACAGATTCACTGTAGGCTGGCAAATGCAGGCTTCTCGCTCTTGGCCTGACTCTATTTCCCCTTCAGCGTCCTGTGGCCAAGAAGGTGGAGATGCCCTCACACCAGGCACCTGCATTTGCTGAATGATCAGCTCAGGCCACCTCGTTCCCCAACTGGGACACAGGGTTAGCCATCAGCGCGATGCCATTCGAAGGTGGCATCCTGGTCAGTACTGAGGTCCCAAACGTCCTTCTGAAGGGGGCTGTTGTTCATTGTTTTGGAAGGAGTGCTGGAAATCTGCCAAAGTGTGAGCCCCTGCCTTTCGGCCACCACCAGCACTCCTCCCCACCTCCCCACTCCTCCAAACACTCTCAAAAGCTAGTGAGCAGCACCACACACACACACACACACACACACACACACACACACACACACGACCTGCCAAAAGAGCAGAGATCACTCACTCAACCCACTGCTTCTCAAAGGCGCCCACAGGCCCAGTCCTGTTCAAGGAATTTCAGGAGGCCTCAGTCAGCAGGCCAGCGCTGGCCCTGAGTGGCCCTTAGGTGAGGAAACCCTGATCTGAGTCCTCTGAAGACCATAATTCTGGGGGTGCCTGGGGGGGTGGGGCTCAGTCAGTTAAGTGTCCAACCCTTGATTTCAGCTCAGGTCATGATCTCATGGTTCCTGGATCTAGACACGAATTGGCCTCTGGGCTGACAGTGCGGAGCCTGCTTAGGATTCTCTGTCTCTGTCTCTCTCTGCCCCTCCTCTGCTCTCTCTTTCTCCCTCTTTCTCTCAAAAATAAATAAACGTTTACGATTTAAGTGCAATTCCCTGATTAATATGCGCTTGAAAATATGAAATTTTTTAAACAGGAGAAAGAAGAACATTCACCGTATGCCCTTAGATGCCAGGCTGATGCCAGGCCATCACAGACAGACCTACACCCTGCGCTTACAAAGCACTAAGGAGAGCTGGGAGTAAGCACTCATGATGAGAGAGAGAAATGGAAGGGGACCCCCCACGACAATACCCCCAGGGAATCCTCAGAAATCAGGAGCTGCTCTTCGTTGCAGAGATGTTGGTTTTATAATTAACAAAGCTCTTCTGAAATCCCTAGATGAGGACCCTGACTTTGAACCGTTGATTCCTAGAAAACCAGGGTGACCTATGGGCATGAAATGCGCCCACAGTACACCCAAGGCAGCGGGTGTGCCCCAGAAATTCTAAGGTTATTTCCGACACCCCAACCAAGGCTCCATCACCTATGCTCTGTTCCTCGCCCTTAGCCCTCAGGGACCAGCACAGTCGTCACTGGACCCCAGACACCACTTCAAGGCTCCTGCCAGGCCTGAAGCACTTGTCAACCCTCAGGACTCCGTGGTCCTTCCCACCCCAGGGAACCCCCAGGCTGGCCACAGCAGACCCAGTCCCTCTCCAGGGCTTTTGAAACCTTTCATTCACAAATATTTGTGGAGTACCTGCTGAGTGAACCAAGGCCCGGCTATCCGGCTATCTATCCATTGGGTGACTTGTGTATTGTCACTTGCTAGTCGGTGGCTGTACAGGTGCTATAACCCGTCAGGTGGCCTCCTCACCAGTGGTTTTCCCACATCGCGGCCCCCAGTTCCCCAGCCAGTGAGGGCCCTAGCCTGCTGGACGGACACGAGGGCGTCCCTTTCGCCGCAGCTCCCCGGCTCAGCACCACCCTACACTTTCGACCCTTATCGACCCCCGCCCATTCCTCCTTCGGACCCCCCTCAGGACTTCCCTTGCCTCTTCTAGGCTTGTCCTCCTCGCTCCTGGGCCTTCCCGACCCCAGACCCCGACACAACTTCTGCCCTCCCCAGCCCCTCGCTCTCCCCGCTCAGAACCCCAGCCCAGTTCAGGACACCTGAGGCCCGCCTCCTCGGTTCTCCCGGGACCTCACCATCTCGGCCGCACGCTCGGGCTGCGCGCCTCCGCCGCCTCTGCCGCCCACACCGCCCCCCGGGCGCTGGATGTTGACGCGTCACCATAGCAACAAGAGCGCGCGTGCGGGCTCCAGCCCCGCCCCCGGCCCTGGCCCCGCCCCTCGGCTCCCGCGGACACACACGGCCTCAGGCGACGTCGCGACCCGAACCCTTCCTGGGGTGGGGACCGCGCCCCCTCCCAAAGGCTGAGCCGCGCGGGCGCCCCCGGCTCTCCTCTCTGGCTCTGGCTGGACCGCAGGGTCGGAACCCTAACCCTCAGGGGCCTGGCGTAGGCCCAGGATGTCTAACAGCCGGCGCTCCTGCAAGAGCCAGGCCGCAGGGGGGCGGGAGGGGGGACAACCCCAACCCCCGGTTACCATGGTTACCGTTGCCCCGGTGCCCAGGCGGTGCCCGCCAACCGTGGGTCAGACGAAGCAAGTTTCACAACAGGAGGGAGTCTGGTTAGACCGCAGAAAGAACTTCCCGCCCTGGGGATGTGTGATGTGTGTGTCATTTCAGGAGCAGTTCCTTGAAGTGTGGGGCCCCCGGCCTCCACCTCAGGGTCACCGGGGAGTTTATTCAAAAGAAAACGCATGCCCTGTCGACGATCCGAATGGAAATCCACGGATCAGTCTTTGAGAAGCCCGCCCTCTAACTCTTCCCAGTTTATGTATGGACTGTTCTGAAGGTGTTTTTAGAAGCGTTATGATTTCCCAAGCTGCTTTGGCCCCTAAACCTCCCCAGCCTGCAGGGACGACACCGCACTGACCCCCGCAGTCTGGGTGCCCCAAGCCTCACGGCACCTTTGCACCGTCCAAGTACGTGTTCTCCTCCAGGCCTGATGAGCAGAACGGGTCCGGAAAGCAGCCTGACCCTGTGATCCCGGGAACCGCGCTCCTGCTGCAAACCTCAGCCCAGACCCTGGCGGCCTGCCCTTCCAGAACTCGCTGCAGCTGGATTTCTGTGCTTCAAAGCCACGGGCTCCGTTCGAGACACTCTGGGCGGAAGGGCTGTCTGCAAAGCTGAGGGCACCGAGCACTGTTGGAGGCCCCAGGGGAATGCAGGAGGGGACCGGGACACCTCTAGTTGTTCTTAAAAGGACTTCCTCCAGCAGGCTCCACATCCCTTCTCTGGATTTGCCAGCCTTATCTCCTTTGGGATCCTCAAAACAACAAGGGCAGGGGTGGGGGCGAGCGGAGCCAGCACACCCCGCGGGCCTCAAGGGGGAGCACGACCCTGCGCACATTCAAGTGAGGGAAGGGCTTTTCTGTTCCGGGCACCCTTTCTCTCCCAGCCTCCTCCCTGCAGCCCCCAGGAGGAGGGACCACAAAGTCAGCCGCCTGTTGTGGATCCGAAGCTCCCCCTAAGCGTTCCACCCAATCCGCACAGCATCCCCATCACCAAAGAGGAGACCGAGGCCAAGAGAGGTCATTGTCCAAACTCGAAAATAGTCTGTGCTCTTTTCTCATCCCCGCTGCCTCTCCCAAGGAAAGGAGTAAAGTCAAGGCAGGAAGGAGAGGGTGGCCACGCAGGGCCAGGGAACCCCCCTGGCAGGCTCTCTCTGAATGCACCTCAAAGCTGTCGGTGCTTAAGTTCCAGGCCTTCCGCGTGCAGGGTCCCTGGCAAGATGCACATCAGGGCTCGTAGCCATGTGCTTGGCCCTGTGTTTTGCAGATTTTTGGATTTCAGTGACACCTGTTTGTGTGGTTCTCCATCACTTGCATAGTGAAGTTATTGCCTACTGTCCTGCTGTAGGAATGGGTGTCTGGAACATTCCCTCCACCAGCCCGCACCGCCACCTCACCTCATGCCAGGACCCGAAAAGTGCCGGCCGTATTCTCCGGGGGAATACATGCTATGGCGCCCAACATCAAAAGTAAGTGCAAAGTGGTAGAAGTACAAGGTTTGGATTTTTAAATAATTTTTTAATGTTTATTTTTGAGAGACAGAGCATGGGTGGGGGAGGGGCAGAAAGAGGGGGAGACACAAAATCTGAAGATGGCTCCAGGCTCTGAGCTGTCAGCACAGAGCATAACGTGGGACTCGAACTCACAAACCGCAAGACCATGCTCTGAGCTGAAGTTGGATGCTTAACTGACTGAGCCACCCAGACACCCCCCTTCCTCCATCTTTAAAGCCAGTAGCCTTTCATCTCTGAGCACTCTACATGAGTCACATGTCCTCCTACTGAGAAAGTTTCTCTGATTTTAAGGACTCCTTTGATTAGGCTGAGCCCACCAGGATAATCGAAGAGAATCTCCCCATCTCAGGATCCTTAGCTTAGCCATATCTACAAAGTCCTCTTACCATGTAAGGTAAATATTTAGACATTTTGGGAATTGAGAAATATTTGGAGGAGAGGAGTTGCCTACCACACCTTGCTAGGTAACAATAACCTTTTAAGGTTCTGAAACATTTTTTCAAAGTCTTGGGAGAGAAATACAAAATACAAAAAAAAAGTTGTTACAACTTGAACATGCCTTTCTAAACAGCATCTTGGAAAGTCTTTTTGAAGGCTGAAATACTACAGGTGAGATTTAACAGATTTGGACAGATATCAAAAGTACATCGTCTTCAGGACGCCTGGCAGCCTTAGTGGGAGCAGCCCTTGACCTCAGGGTTGCGAGTTTGAGCCCCACTGGGCACAGAGTTAACTTAAAGATTTTTAAAAATGTTTTAAAAGAGAGTACATTATCTTTCATCAACTTTAAATGTATGTGTTAAAGAGCAGAAAACCTACTTTAAAATTAATGAGTTTATTCTGTACAGAAAAGGAAACGATCAACAAAATGAAAAAGCAACCTACTGAATGAGAGAAAATATTTACCAATCATGTATCTGATAAGGGGTTAATATCCAAAATATATAAAGAACTACAATGTAATAGCAAAAAAAAAAAAAATCCAATTAAAAAATGGGCAGAGGTTCTGAGCAGACATTTTTCCAAAGAAGACATACAGATGGTCAACAGGTACATTAAAAGGGGATCAACATCAGTAATCATCAAAACCACAAGGAGATATCACCTCACCCCTGTTAGAATGGACATTATCAAAAAGATAAGAAGTTACAAATGTTGGCGAAGGTGTGGAGAAAAGAGAACCCTTTGCACTGTTGGTGGGAATGTGAATCGGTGCGGCCACTGTGGAAAACAGTGTGGAGGTTCCTCAAAAATTGAAAATAGAACTATCATATCATCCACAATTCACTTCTGGGTATTTATCCAAAGGAAACAAAAACACTTAACTCAAAAATATGTATGCATTTCTATGTTCATTTACAATAGCCAAGACATGAAAACAACCTAAGAGACCATCGATGAATAGAGGCACCTGGGCAGCTCAGTCAGTTAAACCTCCGACTTCAGCTCAGTTCCCGATCTTGTGGTTTGTGAGTTCAGGGCCGACCCACTGGGCTCTGCGCTGAGAGCTGGGAGCCTGCTTCAGATTCTGCATCTGCCTCTCTCTCTTCCCCCTCTCTCTGTCTCTCTCAAAAATATTTAAACATTTTTAGTAAAATAAAATAAAAATAAAATTCTCTCTCTCCCAAAAAGAAAAGAAAAAGGAAAATAAGGTGTCAGCAGAATTGTAAGTAAAGTTCTAAAGCTCTAAAATTCACCATATTCCTTGGCTCATGGCGCCCTTCTTTCATTTTATATATAAGTGGTATATACAACAGAATGCTAGTCAACAATAAAAAAATAATGGAATCATGCCATTTGTGATAATATGGATGCATCTTGAGGGTATTACGCTAAATGAAATAAGTCAGACAGGGAAAGACAAATGATATGATCTCACTGTTGGGGGAGGTCTTCAAAGACCTGACCTCTGGTTGATCCATGAGCTGGGCCCCGGCAATCGGAGGCTCCGTAGCCCCTCCTCTGTCCTCAGAACATGGGTCCCCCTTGGCTTTCCCACTCCCAGAGGCTGTTCCAAGGACACAGCCTTGAGATAATGACTCGGCACTGAGAGCCTCTGGCCAGTATACGTGCCTGAACCCCATTAAACCCTCTATATCCACTTTTAAGATTTTGGGGTAGAGGGGCAGGATCTACTAGTCTGGCTCCCATCCAAGACAAGCCTAGTATATAAGTTCCCTCGCTTGTTCATCCCACCACCGTCCAACCGGGTCATCTCAGTCTTTGGTCTCTCTCTGTCCTCCACATATAGGGCCAGTTTGAGATGCCATCCAGGAAGCTCCTGAGGGGGTTGTTCACTTCTGTGTAGAATCTGAAACAAAACCCAACTCAGAGATACAGAGAACAGACGTGCGGGGATCTCTGGGTTGCTAGAGGTGGGGATTTGGCGTGGGGGAATTGATGGTCAAAAGGCGCTAATTCCCCATTATAAGATAAATGAGTCATGGGGATGTAATATACAACATGATGGCTATAGTTAATTATACTGTATTGTATATTTGGAATGTGCGAAGAGAGATCTTAAAATCTCTCACGATAAAAAATGTGTAACTCTGTGTGGTCACGGATACTAACTAGATGTACATCTGCGATCATTTCACAACATATACACATGTTGCATCATTATGTTGTCCACCTGGAACTAACACAACGGTATGTGTCAGTTATATGTCAATAAAAGAACTTAATAGGTTTATGAAACAAAAGTGATAAAAATGAACCATGAAATCAGTACAAATTATTTTGAAATTGAGAAGTAAATTGAAGCAAAAGTTCTATCAAAAAAGGTAATTCAATAAGAGAAACAAAGTTTGAATAAACAGGCACTTGGATTGTTTAATAATCCAATTAACAAGGATAAAATCATAGGAACACATTGGAAATATTTTACATTTCTTATTGATCTGACATAAAATATAGACATTGATAGAGCTTGCAGAAACTTCTATCAGCACGCTGGAATCAGGACCCATGACAAGCTGGGTAATGAATACCATCAATTCAAGGAACGTTTAAGATTAATTACTGACCAATGTCCTGAAATTCTGCGACTCCTATAACAAATTTAGCTCAGATTTTCCCAAATTTGACAATTATAAAAATTGATATTTTGC